AATGTATGGAAACACTGAATTACAGAGTGGCTGAGGTTAGTAGGGGCCTCTCAAGATCCACCCTCACAGGAAAAAAAAAAATTGTTTCTAATGTTAAGATAGAATTTCCTGTGTTTTAGCTAATGACCATTTCTCTTGTTCTACCAGTGGGCACTGCTAAGGAGAGGATGGCTCCTTATGTAAAGCTACGTAGCAGCAACAGAATACCTGTTACATCCTGTGAGATGATTTAATATTTCCATAGAGAGAATCTCACTTCCTTTTACAGTATATAGAACTGTAATTCTGTAATGAATAGCAGTTATCAGTTCACAATAGAGAGTATACAACAGGTTTTGACCATTAAAAATCTACAAACCACTTCCATGACAGTAAAGTCCAACAGCAAACCAAACTGGACCTGAGCATGGACCCAGCTGCAAGCTCTACAATGCAGTAGTCCATACTCTTTAATTAGAATCACACTCCCTTGAACAACCTGGACAGCTACCACTCCTCCAGGTAGTCTGGGGACAGTTCAGGGAACAGCATCAAACTGTTTCCAATATGCAGTTTGAGTGAGACACCTTGAAGCTCACATATGGCATCTAAATGGCTACGTGAGAGTTACACTCTGTCTCTTGCCTTGCAGGGACAGATTGGCGTGGTCCACTTTACTTATCAGCACAGACAGACTCTAAGCATATTTCATAAGCCAAGGAAGGTCAGAGTGTCGTTAATTATAGATTGCTGTGATTACTTACAATTAATATTTGAAACCCACTGAGATCAAATGGGAATGGCTACTGTCACTTACTCCTAAGTAAACCATACCTTGAATGATAAGTTGTCCTACTGACTTCAGTGTGGGCTTGGGACTTAGCAAATGATTAGCAACTAGGATTATTTTTCCTCTAAGACCTTTGAATTTCAATGAAAATACTTATGGCATAGAAGTTTCTTCATAGCAAGTGATCTTCATGCATGTAGTTGAAGTCTGCTTGGCACACGTACAAAAGGCAAGGATGTCAGCCCCACTCCTCCCATTTCTGGTGACTATCAAGGTCAGCAAAAGCCTTAAAGTAGATGCTGTAATAATACTGATAGTTCAGACAAACACCCTTATCTCCAATATGAAAGGAAATCTGCTTGCATTTGCAGGGTTTGCTGAGTTATGTTTCTTGATCCATCCACTGAGAAATGCTATTCAGCGTAGACAAGGCCTGAACTCAAACAGAATAATAAAAGGCATTTACATTTCTCATAAGAAAAACAAGGCTCTTTCCTCAAATGTACTGCTTCTCCTTAAGAGTGAAAGATCTTCACCACACATGTCCTGCAGCACGTTGTTCTTTCCAGATATGGGATTGTGCTGGGAAGTTGTGACACACAGCTTGTGGGAGCACTTGCCAGCTGAGCAATGCTTTCACTAGTGCTCACCACACTCCCTAAACAGGCACGCTAATTATGTTACAGGCTGTCTGTATGGTTCATATTGCCTATGAACCACAGTAAGGAAGTCAACACGTGCCTTCAGTTGTGTTAGCTGTATATCTGCTGTGACCAGAATTTCTCTTGACAAATAATGACAACATCATTAAGCATTCACCCTGGAGATGTTTTGGGTGCTCATACTTTCAGATTGTCACTAAATGCATCTTTCAGCACCAAGGAGTTACTGAGGAAGTTCATATTTATATAAGAAAAATACTAGGCATTGATAAAAAGAAGAGTTTTTAATGCCATATACAGTTAACCTGGTGCACCACAAATCGCTGGCGTCCAGCTATACTTAATGCCACTGATCACAAGCCTTTGAACCCAAAGTTCAGTCAGCTTTCAATCCACTTCAGTGTCCTTTTAGCTAGTTCACACCTCATTGGTTTGCCTACAAAATGTTGCTTGGAATCTGTCAAAAGCCTAAGTCAAAATAGATCCATTGCTTTTTCCTCATCCACCGAACAAGTAATTTCATCTTAGAAAGTGAGCTTATGATTTTATTATCATAAATTCATGCCAACTACCTTCAGTCTTTCTTGTCCTTCATCCATTTGAAAATGATTTCCAGGATTATTTGCTCCACCAGCTTCTCAAGCATTGAAGTGAATCCGACTAGCCCAGATCCTCCTTCCTTCTTGCTCTTCTCAAAGACAGAACTGATATTTGCTTTTTTTAGTCCTCAGGACTTCCCCCTCCCAATCTGATCCCCCTCTTATGAAAGTGTCTTCACTACTCCTGATTTTCTGATGCGTCCCAGGGGCTTGGGAATCCTGAGAAAAATCTTACCAGGGAAGACCAAGGTGAAGATGCCAATGAGTACCCCAGGCTCTTCCACATCCTGTGTTACCAGGTCAGATTTGTGAACTAATTTATACTATTGCATCCAACAGTATTTACAGTTACAATAGCAGGATGAAAACCACAAGGTCAACAATCTTAGGCTTTAGATGCAGTAGTAACTATTTGCATTATAACGATCACTTTTTCCTCTTTCCAAAAAGACCAAGTTTAGAAAACTTTCAGAACACCTACAAATCTACATTGGCATTGGTCTTTTCAGCTACAGTGGCTAAGCAGTTCTCTTCTCATTGCTCCATTTGCTTGTAAGTGTAAATATAAAAGAAGCAGAGAAAAAAAGAACTCTGAAGGAAAGCAACAAATCATTTGCATATGCTAAATTTGAAATCAGGGATAGCTCATTTGCACTTAAAGACTAAACTGCATACAGCCTGGATGACCAGTTCTTTTTTCCATAGCAGAGAGATAATATGGCAGGTGTATGGCAGGTAAATAAAGAGGAATAACGAAGATACATAAGAGGTGATCTTCATTTCTGGCTATGATATTAATGTGATTATTGATAATGTCCCCTCTGGTATCCGTACTTCAGAAAGGACAATGAAAAAAAAAACGAGGTGGTTCAGTAAAAAAACATAATCTTCATTACAGAAAATACACCTTGAAGTAAGAAACTGGAGAATTTCAAACTTTGCAAACTCTAAAGAACACTCAAGCTGATCTGAGACACCTGACTACTCTGTTGATATGTGTACATGGGGAATTAATGGATATTAGCAGATACTGTGATCTGCAGGAAAATAGCACTGTAAGCTCTGTGAGGAAACTAAAATACTGGAAATTGTAAACACCATCAGGCATGCATTTTCTGAGGCTTACACATATCACTGTTAGCCCAAATCTCCACCTCTTCAAAACAGTGCTGACCTTTTGAATTCACAGTGCAATGTAGTGGCTTCTTTCTTTCTTCTCAGCATCACATGCCTGCCATGAGGGCAAATGGAAGACATGGTGCCAGGCACAGACAGAATAATTTGTTTTTTTCATTCTCAGTCCTCTGCTACAGACAAGCACTTCCACAGGACCCGTTCTCATCAGTACTCTTATTACTTAACAGTAAATCGTGGCACATATGTCTATCTGAAAAATTATGTTTTAGTAGTTCCTTTATATTGTGGAGAAAACACCAAATGAATGGCCTCTGTTATACAGATCAAACGAATTATAAAGAGTCCTTTTTCCTGAATATCTCCATGGGAAACACCCACAATGGCAAGGCTCTCCTGGAACATCATCTGGAGTTCCAAACCCTCAGATTCAAGGCTTCTCCACGTGGACAATCAAAACCGCAAACACTCAAATGCTCTGCCTTCTGTGTAAAGCCCTGGGCTCATGCTTGGTCATACTGGATCATCTGGGACACTCAGGCAAAGAGGTGTAAAAGAGCTCTGTGAGAGGCAGGGTGTTGACCAGACATGTGCAACTTTCAGATAAAAGAGAGAGCGCTACCTTCTCCTGCAATGTGTCTGAGGAAGCATCCCAGGCTTCAGTTTCCAGTACTAACAAAGGCTTAGCCCGTGTGTCTTCCAAAGAAGTCCAAATCTTACAACCCACTGACTTCATAATTAAATAGACTTTAGGGTTACAGCTCCTGTGGAAGTAATCTCATGTAGTATTTGGTAACCTTGTACTGAGCCCTGCTGCTCTGAGTGGCATGTGACTTGTGTGTTGAACCCTAGCTAGCACCATTGAAAATGGGAGAAATAGTCACAAATCAGGCTCCTGTATGCTGGGGGGGTGGGTGTGACAAAAACAACCAAACAAAAAAACCCCAACAAAACTCCCCTGTTGCTCTACTAAGTGCAGTGAAGTAGGAAATTCCCGAGGCAGCTGCAGGTGGCTGTGCTCTGACCACTCTCCTATGACCAAGCAGCTGCACATTTCCCAACGTCTCTAACGCCACAGCCACACTCCGGCCCTGCGGAGCTCCGCAGGGCGATGGGGAGCCCAGCTCTGCCTCAGCATTACGGGATACCGGGCAAGGACGGGGCGGGGTTGGGCTCAGAGCAGAGCACCCGGGAAGTGGGATTCCCACGGCAGCCGAGCTAGACCAAGTGGTGTCTTTTTTATATGGCTGGAGGGACAGCATCTCGGGCCGTGCTGCAGCAGCCCTAGCAGCGTTGGGGAAACGCCGCAAACCCGCGCTCGGGGCGGTGGAAGGTAGAGAGGCAGGCCAAGATGTCCGTTCAGCCCCGCAGCGCCCGCCCGGCACAGCCAGGCTCCCGCAGTCGGTACCAGCGGCGGCGGGGCCCGCTCGGTCACATGGAGGCGCCATTTCCTCTGCCCTTGCTTTGCCCTTAAGGCCGCCGCGGTGCCGCCGGCGCCTCGCCCCGCACGGGGCGGTTGCGGACGGGCGAGGCGTCCCCGTCTGCCCCCCTCCGCACGCTGCCCGGCGGAGAGGCGGGGGTGGCTGCGGCGGGGAACGGGGCAGGGACCGGCCGGCTAAAAACAGCCCTCGCCTAATAAAGCGATGGGGCCCGGTGCCCGCGCCCTATAAATACGCTCGGTGCGCGGCCGGCGGGCTTTGGCCGGCGCGGCTCGGCTCTGCAGGCGGGGCGGTACAGCCAGCACAGCAGGGCCGCCACTGCCACCGCCTCCGCCGCCAGGACAGCCCCGGTCCCCGCACCCCGACTCCCCAGCGAGATGCCCCGGGTAGACGCAGACCTCAAACTGGACTTTAAAGATGTCCTGGTCAGACCTAAAAGGAGCAGCCTTAAAAGCAGAGCAGAGGTGGGGGCATCCAAACCCAGCATGCTTCCCCCCCCTTTCTCAACGCCTAACTTCCTTAACCCGCCTTCCCCCCCGCTTTATTTTTATTCCCTGGTCTAGCGGAGCAGTGCCCTCCTGGATCGAGACGCCCTTTGCGTGGCGGGGGGGATGCCGCTGCTCCCGGGAGGGGAGGATGGGGCCGGGTTTGCGAAGTCCGCGGCGTGTCCCCCCCTCGGCCCCAGCGCAGCCGGGGGCGGCTGGTGTGGCGCTGGCCTCCCTCGCTCCTCAAGCCGAAATATAAAGGGGGCATTGGGGGATTGCTGGTTCCTAACAGGTGCCTCTGCGGCGCCGAGCGGGGCCTGACCTCCGGTTTCGGAGGGGGTGGCGGCGAGCCAGCAGCGCTGCAGGACAGGGGTGTCCGGTTACCCGCCCCGCAGCTTGGGCCGGCAGAAGCCGGTGATGCCACCTGACAGGCTGCAGTGCCCTCACCTCGGGGGCTGTGGGCGGTGCTGGTACCGAGGAACTGCTCTGCTCTTAAAAAAAAAAAAAAAAAAAAAAAAATTGTAGTAAACCCGCGAAGATGCTGGGGAGCGCTTCTCAGTGCGCAGCCCGTCATGGGGGGTACTAAGGGAAATCACATCAAACCTGGGGCGATGGGTGCCCCTCGTTTGGGTTTAACCCCTGTGTGACCTGTGTGTGCAGAGCCCTGGAGTCCCCCTTGAGCTGTGTCCCTGCTGGCCACTGTCAGCCGGAACGGGTCTGTAGTTTTCTCTCATCAGGGATCGGGAAAGACCCCGGGAAATCAATCCTATTAGGATCGATTGCATCCACAAAAAAAGATGGCTGCCTCAGGATCGAAGGTGCCTTCTCGTTTACCCCTCGTAACCTCAAGGTTAACAAAGGATTTAGTTTGACTAAAGAAGGAATTACGTTGTGTTGGGGGATGAAAAGAGGATTAAGGTTTTCTCCAGGGGCCATGCAGTTGTAAGAGAGAGAGACTGAGGTAGAAAGGGAAAGTGAAACAGAGAGGCTGTGTTTACTATGGTCCCATTGCCAGGGATTTTGAGGGCAACAACTACGCAAAGTTTCTTTGCCATCAGAAGGTGTGAGAGGCCCTCTCAGTAGAAAGCTGATCTCTAGCAAGTAATTTTTAGTTTATGATGAACAGTGTCTCGGCCGAGTAACTCTCATTGTGTACAATTGATGCACATAAAGCCTGTGGGCACTTTCAAGCCATTTGCTTGGAGACCTATGGATCCCTCCTTAGAATTCACTGTGCGGGCCTGGCAAACAGGTGGAGCTGTGCTCCACCGAGTGAGTGGCAGGCACATGGCTCCTTCAAGTGCAGTGTTCTGTATATTTAGCAGGGTGCAGGCTGCTGGGAAGGGAAAACGATAGGAGGAACATGAGCTGATATGGCAGGGTTGTAACGGGTGCCTATGATGAACTGTTAAAACATTGCAGATGAGAAAAAGTGCGTGTCATGAGGGGGTCAGTGAAAACCGATGAAGGTTAAGAAATTGGACACCATCACTGAGGCTGTGGCAACAGGGATAAACAGTCTGCAAGAGCCAGATCTGAAATGGACAGCCCCAGTCTGCTTCAAAACAAGAATATAAATAAATAGTTCTGGCAGAGGAACAGAGGCAGCATACTACAGTGCCTGTTACCCGGCAAGCTGCTGCTTTGAAGCTTATATCAGGAAGCGTCTGCTTCTCTGGTGTGAATGCCTCGTTTTGCGCAAGGATAGCTTTTTATGCAGTGACTAGAGTTCACGCAGCTTCCTAGAGAGGCAGTTTGAGATGTTTGCAGATCTTGTAGGTTTGCTGTGTTGGTACTTGTTTCTGATTCCTTGCACTGTCTTCGTTTTCCATGGTTGCTTTCTCCTATTGAAAAGATACCAGAAAATGTGATGCTCTAATTCAAATAGAGAAATTGGTTAGAGCAAAGATGTGAGTGGGAGCAGCATTATCTGTCTATGGGGTCATGGTAATCACATAGCCTGTTCTTGCCTTGGCTGGGCTTACTTATGCACTCTGTCCATTGCAAGTTCAAAGACAAGTGTCCTGTAGGAAGTGGTTAATTAAATTTTTTTTTTTAATTGAAGTAAGTCCGCAAGAACAGCACAGTTTGCTAAAATAGGTAGATAGAATTGCAGCCAGCATGATCAGCAGTGTTGAATGATTTCCACATGAGGAAAAACCTAAACGTACTAGGATAATTCAGTATGGAGAAGAAAGAGCTGTGGAGGATATACTGAAAGTCCATAAAGTGAGGAGTGGAATGGAGAAGGCGAAACTGGGTAGTGGCTGTTGATTGTCTCTCATAAAACAAGAAAAAGCCCTGAATATATTTACTAGGCAAAGGTCATAGTTTTTATGCAACATATTATTTGTCTTATTGCTATGGGATGCTAAAGGACTAAAAATTACAAGGCAAGTTCTTGCCTTGTGTCTATTTTGCAGTATTTTGATGTCTTTTCTGAAATGTAACTCTTTTCCTTTCTGAAGTTCCTTTGAAAGGGATGTTTTTCCTTTGTGAAACTGGTGCTGGTATCTGTGTGGAATTGGTTGTGAGATACTCTTGTTTCCGCCCTCACCTTGGGTTCTAGTTAATACATTGTATTAAGAAGGAGTAAAGTCAATTAAATTTTCATACTTGTTTTATACTATCTTCTTCGTAATATTTTCTAATGTTAGCTGCAGCCAAAATTCCTGTAAGAATGTTTTGTCATCCATGATGGCTGGAGAATTAGACTTCTGATAGTAAATAGGAGAAAGGGGAGTCTCCATTAAGATATATCTTAGCTTGTTCACTAAAGTGACCCTTCACTTACAAGCTTATATGAGAACCTGATTCACAGTTTATCACTAAGGCACCAAGTTCTTTCTCTTACACAAATCAGTAATAAATTCTTCACAGTATTAATCAGAATCTAGCCTGCAATTTGGAAGTACTCAAAATATGTTTTAATTGAATAGTAAATAATCCTGTGTTTTTTCTGTTGCTTTCTTTCTCATGATGGATTTCAGTTTATTTCAGATCTCCAAATGTTACTGGGATAAAGTTGCAGTGAGGATTAGTGAAAACTGAAAGAGCCTTTGTTATTGCTAGAGACTAAACTAATATCTTAGAGTTGTGCATTTCTTTTTTTTTTTCCTTTTGAGAGTTTTTCTCCTAGGTAGGAAGATCCTAGGTAGGCCAGTGGGAACTGATCTAATTTGATAATACCTCTTGCAGATGTAAGGAAAAAAATGCCCGATGTTACCATGATCATTTGAAGCTGCTGAAGAAGAAATAACTTTGAAGGTGAAGGTGGATACAGTTTTAAGACATTAACTTAGAAACTAGCAGGTTCTTGGTTTAGGAAGCCAAGGTATGATTGCTGATATTGTATGGCAAGAGTGCTGGTAACCATGGCCAAAAGAGCATACTTTGTCCCAGTCTTTAAGGTAATTGACAATATAATAAAGTCCTCTATGCCTTGGAGACAGAGGAAGTTGAAATGCTGACTTCTGTGGAGTTAGGACTTCCATTTGAGATTCTCAGGCAGCCATACAAACAGCTGAGGTTACTTCTGTGTATAATAACCCAGAGCCCTCATTGTCCTTTTTTTCCAAGCCCTTCTGCCTCATTCCTTCTCTTTTTAAAATTTTATTTTGATTCTTTTTGTTAAGTAAGAGCTCTGTTTAATGCAGAAAACATTCTTTTGAATTTTTTTTCTTATTTGGAAGGCAGAAGTTGTTAAAAAAAAAGTAATAGTGGAACAAAAGGAACAGGAAATGTGAGGAAAATCAAGAAGCTGTGTCTAAATGTGCTGTATCTGAAATCTGTGGTGTAAGATTACAATCAGTTACTTAAAAGAATGCGTGTCTGTTCACTGCAGGTCGACCTCACGCGCACCTTCACCTTCCGCAACTCCAAGCAGACATACACAGGAATTCCCATTATAGTGGCAAACATGGACACTGTGGGGACGTTTGAAATGGCCGTGGTTATGGCAAAAGTAAGTCTTAACTCATTTCTGCAACAGTTGGGAAGTTGCTGGGTGACAATGAACAGCCTTTGTTGATGGTTTTGCTAAATTTGTTGGAGAACAGGGGAACGTGAGTTTAAAACTCCAGAATAAGAAAAAGCAGGTGTGCTTTTACAACAACACAGTTACCACAGACAGGGCTCCTGATACAAGAAAGTTTCAGTGGAGTTGCTTCCATATTGGGAAGCTTCCATCTTGGGTGTAGCTCAGCTTCTGGTAGAGGTTCTAGAGCTGAGCTTAGTTTTTGAGGTCCCTTTGTGTTCCCTGCCAGAAGAAAAAAATATTAGCTGACAAGTTTTGAAAGTGTAGGTTATGGGATAGAGCTGCAGCAAGGTTTTTTTTTTTAATTTCTAAGTTAATGAGCCTCTGTCACATTCAAAATACTGACAGTAGCTTAATGAAGCATACCATAAACCTGGTCCTGAAAGGCTAAGTATGCCAAGTTACTTTTGAAGAGCTGTTTATAGTTGCCTGGTCTGTTATTCATTGTTACTCTTTCTTCCAAGCAGGATGAGCCTATACTTAAAAGGGGCACTTTATACTTCTAATGCCTTATTTTGCAGCTGAGGGGAAAATTACTAACTCGGACATTAATATCAGTTCTCTTGTTTTTTTGCTAGCATGCAATGTTCACTGCAATTCACAAGCATTATTCTCTGGAAGAATGGAAACTGTTTGCTGCCAATCACCCAGAATGCCTTGAGGTACATTTTTCTACTGTAAATTATTGTGGTTTATTGCTTTGTTCTGAACTCACATACACTGGAGTCTCTTGGGAATACTGTTGTCAAGTGAGGTTTTGGGGAATGAAGATATTTGCTGTTCTTAAATTCATCAAGGAAAGTGGTTTGTCCTGATTTAAAAGAAGAACTGTGTGAGTTAATTATGAAAGTGCTTCTATTAAGATGCAAAAAAGGAAAGTTTATATATGCCTGGAATGGAAACAGAAGTATCCTGAAGTAAGAAGGAGGAAATACTTGAGAGTAGGTATGAGTATTGTGCTTCTGTTGCTGTTGGGAGCTATGGTAGTGCACCAGTGTGAATAATTCCAAGTAACCCAACTGGCCCTGCACACTCTTGTGCCAGGTAAAGTCTTTGCCATCAGGTGTGCAAGTCGATCTGGAGTCTACAGGCTGGAGGGGCCCAGGTGCTGGGCCCAGGCAGGGATGAGCATTGGAAGTTGTCAGAGTCTGTGTCCTCCACTTACCTTCTTGCACCAGAGCTCACTTTGTGCTATTCCTGGCTGTGCTATCCCACATGTTCACAGGGTCCTAGCCTGAGCCATTATATTTAGTAAATTTAAACATTGACTTAAGTTGTGACTCTCTCACATTCAGATTTCTTCTTTTCTTCTGGCAGGCCCCTGTACCAGGAGAGGCGCTCTAAGTGTGCCTGGCCATCTCCCCTTCCTGCTCAAAGTTCAGTGCAGTTTTTGATCTTTCTCAGTATAGAAGAGAATACCACACAGCTGTGCTGTATCTTTACCTGTGGCACATTTTAGAATTATATTATAAAGGCCATTTATTACAGAGTTGTCTGAAAGTGAGCCTAGCATTTCGGCCAATGAGAATTACTTATATGCCAACATAGGGTAGAAAGTGGTCCCAGGAATGTCCTGTGTCTGAACACTTCCAAACTTACTTGTGCTACATAATGACTGGAATAGGATCTCCCATTCCTATAGTGATTAAATACTGACTTGCACTGTGACCTTGGATTTCTGCAGAGGTTTTGTAGGCCAGCAGCTGTGGAAACTATTTTTCTTTTGGAAAGAACTCATTGGAAGACAAAGAAAGAAGAAATTTGCTTGTTTTCAATGGTGGCTGACTATGCTTGAGAAAGGGGATTGGACTACTAAATCTCCAGAGGACCCTTCCAAACAAAATTATTCTGTGATTCTGTAGGTCACAGGAATACTTTGTAAACTTAAAGACCCAGATTTTACTCTCTGACAGTACCCCAAATTTTGCCTGTCTAACTTCCTGCAAATATACCAAGTTAGGTTTTCATCTGTGTTCATGTTAACATGAGTATGGCTGAACCTTGATTGATCTCAGATAATTATATATGCCTGAGACAATCTACTTGTGAATGAATGCTGGAATGCTAATTTTTCTGTTTTATATCACTTAAAAAAGACAGAAATAGCCCACTGATTTTCCCAGGAAGGTATTTATTTCATATTACATAGTGCAGTTTTTCACTAGTTACTAGCACAAGTCCTGCCAAGACTGTGCAGGAAAAGGCATACAAATTGTGTGTGTTTTTTTCGGTTTTTTGAAACCCTTCTATTCTGTTTTGTTCTCTCTGTTTTTTTAGCATGTAGCAGCAAGCTCAGGTAGTGGACAAGATGATTTGAAAAAGTTAACAAGTATACTAGAGGCCATTCCAGCTATCAAATACATCTGCCTGGATGTGGCAAACGGCTATTCAGAGTATTTTGTGGAGTTTGTGAAGTCCGTCCGTGCCCTGTTCCCACATCACACCATTATGGTAAGTGTGTAGAAAGGTTGGAGAGTGTGTGTGTGTGTGAATTCTGTCCAGGAACAGGACCCAGAGTTTGACTGGTAGGCATCAGAAGCTAGAGAAGTTAGGAAAGTAAGAAAAGATGTTTAACAACAGTTTGGCATTGTCCGTCTTCCATTGCTGATTTCTGTGGGAATGTTTAGCATGTGCTCTCATACACCTGTCTGATTAAGTTGGTATGGAGGACTGGGTGGATCCAGTTCTTTTGCTGCTCATGTCCTCCTTCCCACACCAGATGAGACCTCTCCCGTCATTAAGACCTCTCTAATCATTAAGTGTGTAGGTTTATTTTGGTGATTCCAAGCAGAGGTTTGCTGTGGAAATGTGCCGGCATTTCTGGCCAGTTGGGGTCAATGACTTTTGGATCACTGTGAAGACAGCTCAATGCAGACTGATCCTTGCCCATGATAAGAATGAGAGGGATGTTGGGCAGTTGCAAACAGCATTATCAGGGAGTAAAATGGTCAGTGCTGGGGCTGTTCATGGTGCTTTCTGTGATGGTACTATCCCATCTCAGAGTACTAATTCCATGCTTCCTTTTGCACTAAGAATAGGGTGTTTGCATGCACGTGGAACTCCTTGCAGCAGAGCACTACTGCTGCTTTCCAAGGGCTCTTGAAGAAATGTGTCTGAATTGTTTCCACGAGAATAGCAGAAATCCTCAAACAAGAAGCAGATCTGTAATGAGGCTACCAGCCTTTCTTCAAGCCAGTGCTGCAAAAAAATCATGTGTTCAGGCAACACTTGCCTGCTTTCCCATGCCAGAGATAAAGCTTCATGCATGTAAAGTAAATGTGAAGTAAGAATGTTCCTAAATATGCATTCTCCCTTGGTTCAATAGAGAATAACATGTTCAAGCAGCTCAGAGGAGGATGCATTCCTTTCTCCCATGTTGGAGGAAGGTAGTATTCTTGCTTCTGAATGATGTAAAACTGAATTGAGCTGGAATGCTTGTTGGATTCTGGGTTATCATAGGCTAATGAACAGAAATTCTTCAACAGGTTCCAGGAGAGGTGGGAACCATTTTGGTATGGCCGTATTTCTCATGTCTTTGGAGAGAGATTTTGGAACTATGAAATGACAAATGTGGGCCTTCTGAGCTTTCTGCTTTATATTCACTGAAGTGGCAGAAGAAACTGTTTCCTTGCTTTGGATCTGAAGTATTGTCCCTAGTGACATGATTACTTCAGTGTCGCTGTCTTTGAACAGTTGTGGGAGGGAGCTTAAATCACATAGTTGAACCTTAAGATCATCTCTGTCAGGTGTGGAAAGAAAATCGTGTGTCATGCCCTCCTCCACCTCCCCACAGATTGCTGACTTTGCTGGCTGAGGAGGGAACTCAACCAAGATGAATTTCCCAGAAGGCAGAGAAGGTCAATGTCAAAGTCAGGTATCAAGCCCAGATTTTAGTCCAGGGTTCTTAGGCCAGTCTCATGCACCTTCCATTTTTGTTCAGCTGCCTTCCTAGTGTCTCTGCTTTTGTGGCTAAGATTATTGTTACTTCAGGTCTCATTATCCTGACAGCACCACCTGCTTGAGCACATTTACAGCCCTGAACTGTTCAGCTGCCTTCTCTGATTGTAGTTCCTTTCTCTGAACGTGGTTTAATATGGCTTATGTTTTTCATATCTGCTCAGCAATAATTTCCACTCCTAAAAGCATGCTAACAAACTTCGCGTGTTCAAAAACCTTCAGTTTTCCAAAGCCTCCAGAATCTGTTCAGTCCCTGAAGGTCTCTGATTCAACTAGAGACACCCACCTCTACCCTGCTTCCAAGTGAATTCACATTCTGTGCCACAATGGCCTTTTGAAGCTGTTCCTGGCTGAAATGCAGGAGCTGGTCTAGGGTCCTTTTAATGGTAATCTGGAAGACATATCCTGCTGCTACCTGTTCCAGCTGCTTTGATGTGTCTGTGCTATGCCTGCCTCTGCTGTTGGGGCTTTCAAACAAAAGAGTTAGCAGTTAAATAGGAGGTATAAAAATAAAGAAGCTTTCTCATAGCTGAAAGTGATCTCCAGGAGCTTGCAGGCTGTCTTGTTTGCTTTCCTCAGCATGACTATTCATTCCTCAGTCAGCTGCAGTGCAATACATAACAGTAACCCAACGCTGGATCTCAGGGAATGTGTGTTCCCAGGGGCCACGTAATGGGTTCAGCTGTGAGGTTGAAAGGGGACGTGGTTAATGTAGTACTTTCTGTGGCCAATACTCCCCTGCAGATGGAGAATGTTTGTTGTGTAACAACCTTTCAAATGCATGTTTCTGTCTTTTTAAATACTTACTTTTATAATCACATTACCTTATTTTCTTCTGCCTGGTTCTGACACAAGGTTTTTTCACTACTGCATTTTGTATTCATTTACAAAGAAGATAAGTTTCTCCATGGAATACAAAGGGTAGGGAAGACAAACAGGAGCACAAAGGTATAATGTGACTTGTCTTAAATCACTCATCAGGTTGGGAATGGGGGAAGAAGGAGTATTTAAGTCGCCTTAGTGTCTCATAAGTGCCTTCTAGAACCAGGAAGATCCTGAGGAGGATCACCCATTGGAGTGTTTTGATGTTGCACAGTGTTATGTGCATCAGTTGTGCTTGCTTGCTCAAGTCTAAAGAAAACCTTTAGTCAGCATTCATGATGGAGGATCAGAACCTTTATATTACAGGTCACACAGTCCTTATTTATTAGTTTAACTATAGACTTTAGGTTATTCCATCATCTTGAAAGTCTTTACAAGCTAAGTTACCTTTGCCAGCAAGGTTTGCCAAATTTTTATCCTGATTGTTTTTTCATGGTACTCCTCTGTTCATTAGAGAAGAGCAGTCCTGAGGGGAGCAGAAGGTGTGGCAGGAGAAAGACTGAGGCAGGAGCACACTTGGAGATACAGTAGCACCCATAAGATGTGGGCCAGAGAAGGAGACAAGCAGAATTGCAAAGCAGAAGCTGAGGGAAACAGCAGGAGCTAAGAACTGCTGTTCCTCCTTGGAGTCGGTAGTCGAACTTTTCTGGACCTTAGTTAAAGGCAGGATCCAGTCAGAGAAAGCCATGCAGACTACTCCCAGTTCATCTCTGCCTGGAACATACACCAGAGTAAATTCAGTCGTGGCATGTCCACCAGGGCTGAGTCTCAGAACAGGGGCCAGGCAGGATCCCAGGACAGGAGAGAGTGATGCTGCTCAGCCTGTCTCAGGTCAGGCACAGCACTGAGTGCAAGCACCCACTGGGTATGGCTCAGCCTTGCAAAGGGCATCTCCCTCCATCTCATGGTTAAGAACCCCTTGCTTTCGTGGTTGGGAAGTGTCCTTTGGCCGCCTTCCTGATAATGTGGAGGCACAGACTGTGCTTTTCTCTAGGATACAAGAAGAAAGTTTGAGAACTGTTGTCATAGACACTTCTCCCCAGCTCCATCCATTGCCATTTGCCAGCAGCTTTCAATCAGTACAGCAGTGTTCCTGTCTTAAGCAGTATGAGTTGATATTTATAGCAGGCTTTCATGAGGCACAGTATCAAATGCCTGACTGAAATTCAGAGGCACTGCCCTACTGTGTTCACTAATTTTGTATCTCTGTCAGAGATGCCGTAGTCTTTATAATCCTGTTAGGTAAAATCTTTATTGCATTAATGTCAGTAGTGAAACTCCCTTTGACTTTTCTGAGGCCAGGATTTTCCTCAGGATTCACCCACAGTTCCTGGATAGTGCTGGAATCACCCAGGGTGGTGTTCACTTGAAACCTCATACTGAGTGATGGTGCATCACAGTACTTGCACCAATTGCTATGTTCTCTGACTACTTGTGTAAACACACTACAGAGTGTATTGTCTGTAGGACTTCACTGTGCACATTCCAACTTCTTTTAAGTTAATTTTAAGAGCGTTTCATTTCTGTAGTCTCAGTCTTTCTATATTGACCTTTTCAGATTTTTTTTTAAGTTAAGATATTCTGGCTTTACCATACCAGTGGGGACTTCAAAAACCCTTTTGCCTCAGTTCAGCTGAGGTACTGGTATCAGTGGTAAGGCATTGGTTTCAGTAAAATACAGTTCAGCTGGATGTGAGTAAACTGATTTCCTTTCAGCTGTTATACTGGGGTCTCTTCACATACAGATAGCTGTGCCAGTCTCATAGTGGTTTTTTTTGTGCTCTCTGAGGTCTGCAAAAGGTACCTAAAAGAAGCAAGCCTCTCACTGGCAGGTTGAAATCTGCTATGTAGAGCTCCATGTCTTCCTTAAAATTTTGTTAAGGATCTGCAGATTCAGAAAGAAATAAATCAGTGATATGTGTACATGCATTCCAGGAAAAAATGTATGCTGGGGACATAAGTGCTTTTCCTTGCTAGAATGAGCATTTTGAACCAACATATGCGGTTCCAACATTTCCTAGCAGTAACTTAACAGTAAACGTCTGGTTAGCATTTCTGAAGAGACAGTTTGACAACCCTCTATGCTCTGTTAATAAGAAGACACTGCTGTTTAAGTTAAATACATATTTGATCCCAAATCTCATGGAACCACTGACTTGAATACCTGCTCCTTCCTATTTATGAATCTTTCGAATATGTTCCAGTATTTCACTGAGTTGTAATGTGGTGTGTGTCATACAGCACAGGTGGTCATCTGCTTTCTAGAGGTAAACTACTTCCTTCATGTCCTAAGTGGCACACTCTCCATCACCCCACTTTGGAATGTACGGCACTTTGTATAATAAATTACCACTGAGCAGAAAGGAAGCAGCACTTAGCTGAAAGACTGTACTTATTATACATCCTTTATTTCCTGATTGTTCTATTTTATTTTATTTTTAATCAATATCATGCTCTTTTGAGCAAAGTTAAGTGGTCCTATATCATAGACCACAAATGACTGCTTGATATTATCCTTGTTTTTATAAGTGCTTCAGGTGGTCAGCTGTTTCAAGCTAATAAAAGGAGGGAGCAAAATTCAGTAAAAATAAATAAATGGTGAAATAAGAGTCAGAAATCAGTAAGTGGAGAACAGACCTTGCCCAGTGTTCCCTGGGTACCCTTCTGTTGACTTCAGCAGTAGTTACATTTGAATAAAAGCTGTACTAAGTAAGGTATCTAGAATTTGCCTCCTCGTCTGCCCCTATCAATACTGCTACAAACACTTGCTAATTCCTGCAATATCATTATGTAAGAGGTCTTCTGAACATCTCTAGATCTAAATTCAGCTCTCCAGAAATTAATAACTCGTCTTTTGTAGAAGTACAAAACAGGTGATGTAGAAAACTGGAGGTTTATCTTGTGCAGATTTTCTAGTTAGGAATGTTCTATAGACATGAGACAAGCCATAGAACTGAAATACAAACCAAACTTGGCTTGTAATTGTCCAAGAGCACTGAAGGAGCTAGCGAATGTTAGAGCAGGACCCCTCTCATCATCTATCAAAGGTCTTGGGAGTCTGGGGAGGTTCCTGCTGATAGGAGAAACAGTGTTACTCCAGTGTACAAGAAGGATGTGAGGGAAACTAAACACAGAGGCATGGGGCATTGGCCACCTCTCTAGGAAGCCTGTTCCAGGGTTTATCCACCCTCTCACTGAAGAAATGATTACTCATGTCAGGTCTGAACCTCCCTGAGAGACACAATTTTGAGCCATTCATATGCATCCTGTCACTGGATCCCATGGAGAACTCAGCACCTCCCTCTCCACTTCCCCTCCTCAGGAAGGTGTAGTGAGCAATGAGGTTACCCCTTGGCCCCCTTATCACTGAGCTAGATGAGCTCAGTGCCTTGGCCACTGTCCACAGTACCTGCCTTTCAGTCACATCACCAGCTTTGCTACCTTCTGCTGGCACATTCAAAGACCTTCATGTCCTTCTTAAATTGTGGGGTGCCGTTTATAGGATTGCATTCCTGTACAATGTTCCCTCAGAGTATGGGAATGCAGTTAGTACAGCTGTAGTGAGTCAGTTCAGTGTGTGCTACGTCAGCATTCATTTGTCTTGTGCAGCCCTTTGCAGAGAGGAAAGCGTGGTCTGAAAATGCACTGGCTAACTGTTTTCAGATGTAACTCAAAGCATAGGTTTTTAGCTCATAAATCTCCTTTGAATAGGATTCAAATGTTGAAATATTTGCTTTTTGAAGACCATCTTTTCCCTGAAAATCATCTGGATAGAGGACTCTCCTGGCAAGGGAATTAATCTCTAGCCTCATTCTGACTGCTGATCCATCAGATCCACAACTGGACACATGCAAGGGCCTGTCTTGTCACACTGAGCTTGCATCAAAATGTTTCTTTAACTGAATAGAAATGGACTGGCAGCTCTCTGCACTTACTGGACCAGTTTTGCAAGCCAATTACCAAGTGTGTGCTAGAAGGTTGTTTTGTAGTTTCTTTTATTAAAAGTGTCAGCAACTTCATCACACTGGCATCCTCTGCATTCACAGCATCCATGGACCAGAAAAATCTGTATCTCATGGCATGTTACTACAGGCCCCATACCCAGACGAAGCTCTGACTGAAGAGGACCCCTACCTCAATAAACCACATGTGAAAAACCTTATTCTAGGAATAGCTAACACAGTATCAAGGGAAGTCCTACAAGTTTCTGCTAGAATTTGGAGTAGGTAAATGTTCCTGGAGGCATGAGTAGATCTCAAGGTGACTGTGAACCACCAGTGTGACATAGGCAAATGCATTCTTGTTTGTCAGGCATGATATTTCCATAGAAAAGGCAAGCATTGTGCAAAGCCTTGGTGAGAACTCACCTGTACCACTGTGGATAGTTCTCATTCCTCAGGTTCAAGAAAGATCTGTCTGGTACGACTTCCAAGGAAGTCTGGTATGAAGGCAAACAAAGACTAAGCAGTTGATTAGGGGACAGTCAATAGAAGAAGTTTTCTAGAAGAAGCAAGACAAAGGCTGAGAGAGCAGCCTTCACGTTCAGCAAAGATAACAATGTAGGCAAAAGGAGGGAAAGAGCTATTGAAGTGCAAGAAAAAATATGGTAAAGAACATAAACCAATTCAGGTTTGCTTTCAAAGAAGATGTCACCCTAAACAGCACGCTCTCTGTATCTCTGCAAAGGTCAGAGGGAACCAAACCCCTGTTTTTAACGAGTAGCATCACCACAACCAAATATATAGGGTATGTATATGGTGTAATGTTCAGATTTATATAGTCTCTATGAACATACCAATTTTGGTATGGCAAAATTGCACAAAATTAGAAGAATAGTACCTTACTTTCAGTGGGCAAAATACTGGATCCTAAAGGAAAAAGATATTTTCTTGTGTTTTACACAAGAAGATCTGAAATTCTTCCTGCCAAGTGAGTTAGGCAAAAGGCATGGAGGTCTCTTGGCTGTTTAGGAGAGATAGGTAGGGCAGGAGACGTGGAGGAGTTCAGTGTATATAAGAGAAAATAGCCCTTGTGGTTAGGGATGATGTGGTTGAGAGCCTCTGAGTGAGGATTAGGGGGATGGATGACAAAGCAGATCTCTTGATGGGATGCTAAGGATCAGAGTTTACTGGACTAATTGTTAAATTCAGTTGATGGGAGAATTTACCTGTACAACTGGTTTAGTCTCGGTGGCATGTCTAAGGAACAGTATGGTGAATATATTCTTCCATACTCTGCATAGTTCAACTTGTAAAAGCTCTGGATAAAACTTTACATTGTCATATTTTGTCTTTACTGCTATGGTCTTGAAATCTCCTGTACATGTGATACTGTTCTTTCTTTCCAGGCAGGCAATGTGGTGACAGGAGAGATGGTAGAAGAACTTATTATTTCTGGAGCAGATATTATTAAAGTGGGTATTGGACCAGGTAAGTCAAATAAGGATGGCTTTTGGTACCATTGGTAGAGGAGTTGTCCAGATGGAACAAGTGTATAATGCAGTTTTCTTGCCTGTTAGAATGCCAAGACCCACTCAGGTCAATAAAGTACCAGTGAGCTTGCACACAGTGTGTTTAAGAAATACACACACAGGGTACTAGTGTTTCATACTGCACAGTGTTGCATATTGCACCTTCAGTCAGTGAAGATGTCTGTTATTAGAAGCACTGGGCTGCCTGAATTCCTGACATTATCACTGATAAAGTGTTGTTTTGGAGAACACTTTTCTAGCCTTTTGAAAAGAGGGTGAGCCATCCAAGCTAAAGCTCAAAGGCTGCTGTGTTCAGGTGTCCACTTCCATCAAGGAAGACAGGCTTCTGAATAGCTTTATGATTTGTGTTCTGTGAGGCTGAGTTATCCTTGTCAATGTCTTCAAAGACGAAATGGCGTCAATTGTGAAATACAGAGAACTTTGCCTCTACATGTTACTATTGCCTGGGAACTAAAATTTACATTAATGCACTTACATGCACTCTAACATACCACTCTAACATTTCCATGGATAAACAAGAGGACCCTGAAATTCTTACAGTGTTTTCTCTATCTTCCCTTCCCTAATATTGTTGTCTGGCATACACTGCCTTGTGCCTTCCTTCACATGTTCCTTCTCTTGCTGTTTTCTTCTTAGTCTGCTGCTGGAGTCGCCATATGTGGGCTAGGTTTTAAAGTGGCTAACACAAATGCCACTGACAGTATAGCTGTGATCATCCAGTGCAGTGCAGGCAGATTGTTTACTCTGCAGTGCCAGATAGTTATAGTCCATGAATGCATAACAGGAGCAGAGAAAATGATGTAATAAACCTTGCAGTTGTGCCTGGGAAAATATCAAGCAATAAATATTGCAAAATACATGAAGAATAAACAACAGATATTTCATGGTGTAATTGTCATGGGCAAATTCAGATTTAAAAGAATAATAATTATACTTTGTAGCCTCAAACATGGAAATACGAGTAAATGCTGTATAGTCCACCCTGGAGATCTTCCTGAACAGATCTCTACAAGTTGACCACACAAACCCACAGGTAACAAGTGTTCCTTCCTCAGGTCTTGAGTCTCTTTTCCAGATAGAGATCCATCCTGTGGAAAATGGCAGTGATCTATTATTAAACATTACATACACTGTAAAGTACAAGCCCTGTGGAAATTATATTAAAGCTAATTTTCTTACTGTTTTGCAAGAATTCTTCTCAGTGTTTTCACTTGTCAGTTCTTTGAAGAGTCTTTGGTAACTTTTGTTTTACTGGTAGTTTGAGTATATCTGGATATCAGCTGAGTGAAGGTATCTAGATTTCACTGCATTTGGTTTAGAGTCTGTTTTAAATTCTTGTTATCATGCAGACCTTTTAAGTCTGTATCCTAACTTACAGGACCTAGAATGGCAAAAAGCAGTCCTCTTTTTGACTATTAATTTGAGGAAAAAAATAGAGAAGGTATTCCAAAAGGTCTATGGCCATGTTGCTATGTTGAACTGTATCTAAATTGGTTTATATATATATATGCCTTTACTTTTATCTATACATACGTGCATGCACAATGTATGTGTATAAATAACATAGTTCAATGATAAGATACAGTTCAATTATTTCCCTTGATGGTGCACTGTACAGTTTTCAGATGATTACTTATCTCACTTTTTAAATGCTATGTGCTGATCTTCTTACAGTCCCCAAAATTGCAGTCAACTAAATATTTCTGCCTACAGTATTAAACAAAAGATGGGAAAGTTTTTACCCAAAAAAACCCAAGCAAACAAACAAAAAAAACCACACCAACACAGATTTTACCAGAGAATTGCTTCTTTAAACATGCAGAAAAGAGATAGAAATATTTATTAGAAGAAATATTCAGGCCATAAATGCTACTGCTGAGTCTCACGGGTTGTGGTTCTGGTCCTTTTGTCCCTTCCCTTTAGGCACCTCAGTCAGATTTACTTTCTTTTGATGCAATAATTCCCTCACTGAGAAGCATTACTGATGAGAACTAAACTGGGACTACCCTGGAGAAGAAAAGGGAGACATTAGTCTTATCTGCCACCACTCCTATGAAGTGGTGTGAGAGCATTTCAGAACTCAAGTTCCTGTGTGCTTCTTTTATTTCTGAGAAGCCAGCATTGGCAATAGAGACTTCTTGAGAGAAAAATAATGCTGATAAAAACACATTTTTTCTGTATCGTTTCAGTCATCCTAATGGGCTATGTTTATTTCTCTTGTTCTCTTGTCTAGGTTCTGTGTGTACCACTCGGATTAAGACAGGGGTTGGCTATCCACAGCTAAGTGCTGTTATTGAGTGTGCAGACTCAGCACATGGCTTGAAAGGACATATCATCTCTGTAAGTAACTATCATCCAGTCTGATTCCCACTATGCAAATCGTTGTGGAATGGGAGAATCAAACAGTCTAGTACCCTGCATGTTAAAGCTTGTCCTTCTGTCATCCCCAGTTGACTCCTGTCTTAGCTCCTGGGACAGGCAGTGGAGATCCAGATGGAGAGAAACCAGCTCTCTAACATTAAAAAGATGTGGGCACCTCACTCCTGTTTATGCCTTTCGAAATCTGCTTCTTTCTCCCTGAATGGAGTAAGCTGTTATGTAAACAGAATAGGAAGCTTGATAGTGTTTTCACTATTGAAGCAAACAGTAATTCATATGAAAGACTTCTGAAAAAGGGGTGGAATGTAAACATGACTTTCCTCAGAGTGTGACTGAGGGGCTGGCAGTAGAGGGGAGTACAAGGTGAAATGATGGAAGCCTATCGGTGCCCTAGTTGGATTGATTCAGATAGCATCCTCACAAAGCTCTCTGCACAGGGGCAGGAGTGTTTGAGGTGGCTCTTTTGAGCACAGCTGGCACGTGAGCCATGAATGTTATGTTCTCACTAAACTCTGGGGAAATAACAAACCTATGGAGGAAAAAGAGCATTTGTCTGTATTGTCTGCTAATGGCAGTTTCCATTCTTGTCAGCAAGACAAGATTCACATCACAGAGAGAAAGTAAATTAGTAAACGTGGCCCCAGGCTGAGCTAGAGTGCAGGCTGCAGCACCCAAATGTCCTGTGTGCTTGGGCACACACAGGCAGTCAGTGTGTCCTGGCCATGTCAGGCTGGCACAGCCTCTGCAGGCTGCCTGTGAGGCAGCTGCTCATGGGAAGGGCACAGGGTGTCGCCTGTGTGCTGTGCTCACAGCCAGCAGCCTCCCTCTGCCGCCCTAGGAGAGACCACACACTGGATTTTAGATCTACTGCCAAGTGAAATCACTGGAAGGCCCTGGTTTCTTTGACCTAGTTGGAACTAATATCCATGTGAGGAAGGAGGAGTGTTGTGTTGTGTTGTGTTGTGTTGTGTTGTGTTGTGTTGTGTTGTGTTGTGTTGTTGAGGAGGGAAGTGAGAGGAAAACAAACTGATTTGGGATGGGCAAAGGATTTGACTGGATGTCTTGGAGTATAATGGAGCAGGAACATGTGTTACAGTCAGATCACTCTTGCTCTTTATTGTTAATGAATATGCAGTCCCTCCTCTCCATGGCTCCTCTATATGAATTTTGCAGAAAAAAGAGAAGCAGTCTGTGTTTTTTATGACTTGGGCAGTATTGCAAATGTTTCTGTTTATAATAGACAGAAGAACATGTGTGCAATAGAGCATGAAAGCCTCACTAGTTACTGTGAAGGCTGAATAAGAATAGGTATCATCCTGGCAGTGGTGCTCAGACACCCATCCTAGTTTTGCAATAATCATTTTCTGCTAGCAGCCCTCAGAAGAATGCTGTTATCCTGATTTTACAAGAAAACACAAAGTGTGTATTCAGACTGTTGAAAAATTAGATGATTCTGTACTATATCTCCTTTCCTGCTTTGGGAATGGATCAGTTCTTGACTTGCTTAGGTTTCAGTGATCCCACACCTATCAGCCCCCTATGGGGGTATATAGGAGGGCAATTTGCTACCTGTCTACTACCAACATCTGGGCCAAGAGAAATACCTTCAGCTGTGGCTGGGATCTCTAACATTACTTCAGCTCAACTCTGTGACACAATCTAAGAAGAGTAAAACAAGGGTAAGGACATTTTGCCTGAATTCTGGAGCATTCAGATGAGTATTGGTGAATTTATTAGGGAGAGAAAAGGCTGGACTGCATGGTTATTGCCAGAGCTCTGGCAAGAATATCATGGAAGAGAGGTATTCTCATGACGGAAAAACACCATATGGCAGCAATTCTAAGTATAGAATTGGGTCTGGTGGCAACAAGTATACATGGCATCCCTCAAAATGTCTCACTGCTGTCTTTCTGGGGATTGAAGAAGGGACACACCCTACCTGAGCCAAAAGAAATCCCTACAGGCAGAGTATTACCACAACTATCTATGTCAATTCCCCAGGAGAAAATGTGTCCAGCAATTTTTTTTATGTTGATACAGAAGTAGCAGGAAGGATGTGAAAAGATTCAAACCCTACCAGCCAGCTTTGTAGATTACAGCTAATGGTGTGATATGGGTTAGTCCCTTGGAGTACTTTTGTGTATCCACTTCTGTCTTGTCCAGTACCTTCATCAAATTAACTCCTCGTTCTTGTTATGTTGGTACAATTTCTGTATGAAGGAAAAGAAATCTTGCTCTCAGAATGAGGAAGTGATGGTGCTGAGCACAGAGATAGAGCCACTGCAGAGACCACAGCACGACTGAACCCTGATCTTCAGGAGCTCTGCTAGGATGGGAGCACAAACTGAGATTTTAAACGTTCCTATTACTGAAGTTTTCACATCTGATTTTTGGAACTGATGCGTTGACAAGGTGACAATTTTCAGGCAAACACGATAGTCCAAGTGAACACCTGGTGTCTGTCTATTCATTTACACAGAGAAGTAGGAGGTAAAATTGCACCGGTTACTTTCCTCATGCTAAATTATCTGTAAGACTCAAAGCTCATCTCGGAAATGAATCTTTCATGACTCACTGAAAGCAGAGAGGAAACCCTCCCTAAGATACAGACATGGTTTCTGTCCTGTACTGTTTGTCTGGGAGCCAGAAGTCTCAATTTTCATTCTTGCTAATCCATTGGCCTTGAGAAAATGCTTCAGTGAGTTACAGTGGAGGGGGCCTGCTGGAGATGTTTCTTGTAGGTCAGAGAACTCTGCTGGACAGAGAGGCAGTCACGTATTCTAGTAAGCTGGTAATGTGGGGAATGGAAAGCAGCCCTGCATGTGTCCTCTCTCATGTCGCTATCATTTGACAGAGATCCCTGCTTCCCTTTCTCCCTGCCTGGGTGATAGGTCACCAGCATTCAGTGAAAAGAATGACTAAGGGCTTCTTCACCCAGCTACTGCCATACTGTCCCTTTTTCCACACAGAAATATATCCAGTATATGTAGTTCAGAATAAAGCAACATATGTATTGTTTTTACAGCTGTTTATGCCACATACTTTATGTATCTCCTGCATAATAGCTATCTGTTTGCTGATACTGTAGAAAGCACTGTTTATGCAGTTCATTATAAAGGATGCTTGAAACATAAATCACAGTTATAAACTCATTATAAATTGCATATAATACTTAATGTTTAACCATTGTATATTGGTTTTCCATGCTGTATTTTTTTTGACTCAGGCTAAATTTTGTTGCTGTAAAATTGCTTATCTATCTGGAGAACAGGACTGGGGACAAAAACATTATTTCAGCCACATTAAAGTAATTCTGTTGACTGGAAAGCTGCTTTCCTCCATCCTTCTTCCTAGCACCCACTTGGCTCAGAATCATGCTGTTTAAAGGTTCCATGACCATAACCCTTTCCCATAGTCTTACTTTGGTATTATTCCAGTTCTCCTGAATTCAGAGGCAGATTTTTACAGATAAATTTCCCCAGGGTTCTGAGGTAGAGGCTGAGCCTGCAGAAAGCTCTGTAACTGAAGCTCAGCCATCTACAAGTCATTTTGAACCTAGACCCAGGGCCCTGTGGGGACGAGCTGAATTTTAAGGGTAAGCTTCCAAAGCAATACAGCAGCAGAACGCTCTTATTTTGTAAACAGAGTACCTGCTTTTTCACATGGAATGAAGTGCTTTACTGCATATAGCTTTATTATATAGCCTCTTCTGACATAACTGACATAACTTAATCTGTTCCCCTTTTGTTTCCCTTTCTGTGAATCACTAAATTTACCTGCTTATCTGAAGTAACTGGAGACATCTACAGATAAAGAAGGGCTGTGAATCAACACTGTCAGTTCCTTTTATCTTAAATGGTAACCTGTGAGCTTTTGGGCAAGTCTCTTAAGCTGCTCAGCATTTTGTAATTTAGTAACACTCAAAGTGATATTTTTTGAAGCCAGTGATTAATGGTTACACAGTAAGGGCCCTCATCCTTATGGTACCTCTGAAAGCATAAAACCTTCATCACTGCCACACTGGGTTAGTTATAAAAGTCAGATACTGAGCCACCCAAAAACAACTGACTGCAACCCACCTGCCAGAGAGCATTCAAAGCCAGTGTCTCTCAGATAGTAAGAGTCCTAAAATTGTTCTTTGAAGATTATTAGACCCTTCTTTCTACCCTGGCCCTTCCTCCCATGACACATGCACACACACTCACACCCTCTTCCAGGCTATGACAGACTTGTTAAAGGGAAAGAATTGCACAAGCAGAGCCCTTAAAAGGAGAGAGAGATTAAACTGTCAGCCCAGCACTCGTTCCTGGAGCTCACAGCAAGGGTGTCTAAGCTCAACAAAAGGCATAATGTGCTAGAGGTTATCAGCAAATGGAATAAAAGCCTTTAAAGTTCTACCAGGTGCTGTTTGCAGTGGGGTGCCCTTTGAAAAGCCACTCACTTTTGGATCCACCTGCTCAGTTTGTGTCTGAATCCTCTTCTGGGCACACAGTTTCTAACCTACAGCCCCACTGCCAGCTGCCCATCAAAGCCAGCTCTAATGTGGCTGATGGTGGGGGTCATGCACAGTCACACATTTCTGCTAACAGGGAGGTGAAACAGCGTGAGGTAACTGGCCAGTCTGAGGATGGCTTCCAAAATGGGAAAGATGTTGGCAGTCTGTAACGGATCCAGATCATCAAAGGAATGGGGAGCTCTCCTGGTACGACTGTGTAGACTAAAGGATCTTTCATCTGGTGCTCAGACCTTTACAAATCCTAAAGAACCATAGCACATGATGAGCTCTGCTGTGTGCCATTCCTTTTTTACAGCTCTATCACACATACACAACCTCTCTCCCTTCAACTGAACCCCCTTCATCAGCCACTGCATTGCACTGAAACTGAAATGTGTAGGACTGAAATGCTAAAGGTCCAGACTGCTGTTGTTTCCTTACCAAGCCCATAGCAAACAGTAAGGAGTAGGATGAGAAGCTCATTTTCACTTGCTAAAGATTGTATTAACCAGGTTTGTTAGAGATTATCAGATAAAAATCCAATATAACTGATAGTACATTCCCTCTCGCCTCCCACTGTGACCTTTTAATGTATTGTAAACTGCTGAGAAAGTTATTTTAAATGTCTTCGGTGGTTTAAGGTAGAGGCTTGTGGTACCTCTGCATCATACACCCTTTCATTAAAATGGCAGGGGATGATTCAGATGATGAGAGGAGGTTTTGTTTTCTGGTTTCTGGGATTTGGAAACTTGCAGTCAGGAATTTGCATTGCTGTTGTTACCAGTGGTATTATCAGTAGACTATAGAGTAGGTGAGCCTCAAGGAGGTAAGCAGTGGAAAGAATTATCTGGATTCCCTGAAAATGTAGCCAAGATAATACATCCCAAGTGCATGATCAGCTCTCTTAACACGCAGTTCCTGAGCAGGGGCCACAGTGCTGCAGGTCGCAGAGCTCCAGTTCTCAGTGACTCCCTGAGTGACCTCGCTTCCACTCATTTTTTTTTTGTCGTCTTTTCTTTGTGCAGGACGGAGGATGCAACTGCCCAGGAGATGTCGCCAAAGCGTTTGGTAAGGACAGTGTGTTGTGACACTCCCACGTGTCTCCAGCGCCCCTGGCAGCAGGGATGCAGGAATCGGTGTGACCAAATGTGTAATCAATTAGCTGAAGGTTGCGTTAGTCCCTGCAGCTGACTCCAGTGGAATTTATGCACAAGGCGTGAATTTGCTCTTTGGAACAGTCCAAATTCTGCAGTGCAAAACATAGAGTGGTCAAAGTGCTATTTAGAAATTACCTGCCAGGTGTGTATGAGATACAGCTGCTGGGAGAGTAATACGAAGAAAACTGATAGAAGTTTCTTCTGAGTAGGGTTCAGAGATGCCTGTAACTTTGCCAGATCTGGCTGACTTGAGCCTTGAGCGGAAGAAGAGCTGGTGGAATGCATGTTGGACTGAAGAACAAAACAAAAAGGCAGGCCAGATCCCTGGAGATGTTCTTGGGATCAGTTGTCCACTTCATGGGATGAGATTTTATTTATACTGTATCCCCTAGAGCTAGGCAGATGTCTAAAACATCTAAGTTAATAATTAACAGATTTTTGCTTTCATGTCAGTAAGTTGAGTGAATTGCACCAGCTCTTGGTGATAGAATAGAGAATTTAATCTATGAGTATTGTCTATTGGGCATGAAAGTTCTGTTGGTATGGGGGGGGGTCAAACTCATGATTGTCACTTAGCCATAACCTTGTTATAGCAGCATATAGGACGCAGGTGCTAAATGCATCTTGAGATGACAAGACATTTAAAGGTACTCCTCCACCTCCCAAAATGCCAGACTCTTTGGAGGTGTCAAGTAGGGTAATGCCTGGAATACGGTGGGACAGCACAGTCTCTCACTGGGATTTCAGGATGGTATGAAAACAAGAGATAGCACATTATAATACATAATGTCTGCTTTGCAGGAAGCTTTGCAAGTATGGAAAGTAGAGGCAGGCCTAAACTCAAATTACAGACCTGTCAAGAAAAACTCTAGGCCTGGAACTCCTGGAAAGGTTGAAACCAAAATCTGTCTTTTAAGTTTGCAGACAGCTCCTGTTTTATGACAGGTCAGATGACAAGGAAGACTTAATTAGAGAATTCTAAGGACAGCTGTGGAGTGATTGCTACCAGCAGGGAATGTGCTTGGTCAGAGGATTTCATATAACCTTTGTGTTACCCAGTGGTGATGTGATGCAGGAAATAGATGCTTCCACTTGGGTGATTCTAACATAGCTGAACAGCAGCATCCACCCTCTTAGACAAGATTGTATTAAAAATGCCCAACCTCTCCTCAGCCGTCTCTCTGACATGCTGCCTGCAGTGAGGTCTTTATTCTGACTTTCTCTGGCTCCACAGCCCACCAAGTTCTGACTAGTGGTGTGGTCCTTGGGAGCTTGTGAACTGAAACTGTGACCTCACTGTATTCCCAGCTGTCTGCACAGAAACTTGTGGAAAAGGTTTTTCTTCAACAAGAGCATTTCCAGAAGGGAGCAACTTCACAGTGTTTCAAATGTTTTTCTTTGTAGTGTTTATGTCTGAAAGATCCTTATCGTTTCTTTGGGCTAACTGAACCTGAACCTGCTTGAAACCTGTGAAGAGACAGCTTCTGTCTTTGCTGTTCATCAAGAGGTGCTGGGATTTACAGTGGTACATGTCTGAAGGCTGGCACAGAATTATCCCTTGGACAGAGGAGCATCAGAAAGCTGATATGTTCTAAGCAGCAGTTGTACTCTTGGTAGTAACCCAGACAGATCAGTGTGATTGTGTGTCACAGTTACAGAGCTGAAAATGATGGAGATGACCCTCAGGCAGTAAACGTACTGTATCTAGTTATGTACACTTGAGGTAGACACACTGTGAACATCTGACAAGCTGGACCCAGATGTGCATTTGTCAAAGATACGTGGCAAAATAAGCTTTGAGATAACACTATTACTATCAGTGTTTATTGAATGCTGCTGAAGTGATTGGCTATCTGAGCCTCGTAGAATGTAGCCGCCATGCCCAACATTCACAAGTCAAAGCCTTGATACTGAATTGTCTGGCAATGAGTGTGCTTGAGTTACATGAATATATTGGATAGCAAAGACCAGATGATAAAACGCCCATCTAGTTCCATCTAGGGATGAAGGCATGGACAAAGCATGGGCAAGAGACAAGAAGAGGAGTTTGATTAAAATAATTACGCTGTCTCTTTCTGGTGGATCACTGTAAAATCTTCATGGGATGGGATGATTCCCTATAAAGCAGTGACAGAGCATGTGTTTGAATTATGGGAAGTGTGAGGGAGTCCCAAATCTGAAGACAAGCACTGACAAATGGCTAAAGGTGTGACTGGAGGAGCCAAGTTCATGGAAACAGGAGTAGATTGGACTGAGTGGAAGAATTGTGAAGAACCGAGAAAGAGATGTTGAGAAGCTTTAGGGTGCACCTGTGACTTGGTATCAGGACTCAGAGGCAGATTGGGCATTTTGACAGAGGGCAAACAAGGTAGAAGCCTATTTAAAAATGCAAGGAACAGGGAAGCACTGAAGGTGAGGGACAGATATGCTGGGAGAAACATACTTTGAGAGAGACTGCTGGAGTTCTGGAACTGCTGGATGGGAACCTGGTATAGATTCAGTAAACTGAAACTGGGAACCTGGTATAGATTTGGTCACTACCATCTATTAGATGGTATTAGAGATGATAATGAAAAAGATGTCATTTGATAGAAAAGAAAAGAGCTGTTTTGATGCAGTAATGAGAGAAAGCATGAAAGAAATTTATGCTGGGCTCTCAGATGGTGCATACAACTGAACCCTTGGAAAGGCTGGTAACATGAACACATTTTTCAGAATGCTCCAGGGAGGCACTACTGTCTCCTGTTTTAATGATGAGAAGTCAAAGCACAGAAATACTAAGTTCTATTGCCTGAGGTCACATACATTTTTGTGACACAGCCAGGAAAGAATGTGCCTTTTGAATCCTATGCCAGCATCTTTAACACATTACTGCTGTTCCTTACAGCAGTGGTGAGAAGAGATGCAGGAGCAGGGAAGGAAAAGGAAGGAAAAATATGGAAAAGTCAACTGGGGACATACACTAGTTCCAAATTATACCAGATTGCACTGGCTTTTTCTCCTGTTTTCAACAGCTGTGTGTGTACCTATTGCTTCAAAGGCTCACTGGCTCAACTGGAGCACAGGTGAATGTTAATTCCAGGGCAAGCTTTGATCCAGACAAACTTACGCTGCATCTGCCTGGAGGGCTGCCCAGCTCACAAATCCAAGCCTACTCCAGATGAATTTGCACAGAGCCAATCTGGTTATCAGTGACTTGTATAATCAGGCCTACAAAAGACATCTGAGGGACTCTATCCAGATCCAGCAGAACTGTATGAGTGCTGCGAGCTTGGGCTGGCGTCAGCAGTGCTATTCTGTAATGGCTTGAAAGAGGAGGCACTGTGAAATGTGAATGAGCAAAATCAGCTCAGATACAGCTCAGGCCTCAAGGGGAAAGTCAGTGCATGAAAGTGGCATTGTGTAAAACCAGGACGAGTCTGGCCAGCTCTGGGTCAGCTACTGGGATGCTTGCACAACATACCCCATCACGTCCTGTGTTATCTAGGGGGTTGTTGCCAGGTATTCCCAGTCTCCCACAACCTAAAATAATGGCAAGCTGTCAATCTGCACTTGTAAACAAAAGACTGCAGATGGGTGTTGAAAACATCACCAGTGCTTCTGGTGGTTATACAAGAAAAACATGCAGAAGTTAAAGACCATGCTAAAAACGACAACCTCCTGGTCAGATATTGACTGATGGAAACATAATGAAATAGACTTGAAACTTTTAGATATCTTGGCAACACTGAAGCATAGTGGAAGGTTCTGGAGAATTTCGGAGAAGTATATTTAATATGGGCTTGTCATTTCTGGAGCAGCAGGGCAGCAAGCATGTGTCGTTTCAATGTTTAGACGTGCTGCATCTGCTGTAACATAGCTCCTCTCTTCTGGAAAAGCTTGATGAATTATGTTGTAGTTTGCAAAAAGTTACTCAAGTTGGATGAGTTTCAACCCTGTAATTCAAACATATTTGCTTCCCTCCCAAAAATATGCAGCCAAAAGGAAAATAATAAATAGATACTGAAGTGCATAGGAACCAAAATTCTGTGGTTCTTAAGTGTAGATTTCATGTGCCTTTTGCATTATTTGAAGGCTGTAAGACCCACAACCAAAAATGGCACTGGAATTGGGGATCAGGAGATACTATTGACAAGATAGAGTCTAAAATGTCTTTTGGCAAGCTTTTTACTTGTTTAAACGCCCTCTTTGCAGCCTTGACCTCAAATCTGTCCCTCCTTCCTCATGTTTTCTTCCACCCATGAAGAAGACATGAACTAGGTTTCCCACGGTGCTTATTTTTTGCAAAGATGGAACAAGGTTGTGCTAGGTAGCAACAGGAATTTGCCACCAGTAATTAAATGATGAGTATTCCCTTCGTTTTTGGCAGGTTAATAGTAGTAGCAGACATGAGTCGAACCAAGACATTAAAACTCAGCAATCTGAAACAAGAAAGCTCAGGAGAAATCTGCCAGGTAGCTGACATGATAGGACACCTGAATGGGTGCCTGGCTATAAATATTGCTTCTGATGTGCTTTGCACAAGCTTCATTTTTAGTATACCTTTACCATGGACACAGTGTTCCTTTCAAGCAGCCACCAAGCAAAGGGAGGTGAGGTCAGCAGAGCAGCTGGGTGCTCTGCCCCCAGGCACTGCTGCCAGCTCTGCTCTTTGGCAAAGGGGTGGAGGGAGGAACTGGCACACTTTACCTTTGTCATGTGTTCTAAGATCAAAATATTCCCAAATTCAGGTTTGGCAGAAGATGAGCAGATTTGATAGGGATTTCGCTTACTTTTCAGATTTCAAGGTCGAGTGCTATTGTTTGGATAGTGACAGAGATCAGAGCAAATCCTAATGCCAGACTTACCTAATCTTGATCTCCCCATAGTTCAGATGTGTTCTTAGGAGGATGGGTATAGTTCAAGCTCACCTGCTTTCTGTAAAGTGTGGTTTATAGCTCAGTTCTTCAGCCAGTTCTGGGAAGAAGCTGAGCAGAGGGGAGGCCTGTTCTGACACATACACGTTGAAGAAGTGAACAGAGTATGAACAGGAAAATCCTTTGTTTCAGGGGTAGGTCACCACAGGCTCATAAAAGACTAAAAGCCAAATTTTTCCAAGCAAGACTAGATATGCCAAAATATCACAGGAGGAGCTGCTGGTGGAATAGTTCCAGCCCAGCTGGAAATATTGGAGATCACAGTAGAAAATTAAGAATGATTCCAAAAACCTTCTTCCTGGTCTTACTCCCAGTGGAGCCAATTTCATGGTTTACAAAGCCAGAGGAGATAGACAGACTGAACAGTCATGATTGAATATTCAGTGTTGCTACTCAGTATCTGGAACATATTTAGGACTTGTAGCTATGGGTTAGATCTCCTTTGTGGTGCTTGCTGAGAACCACAGAACCCAGGAGTGGTGGTCCTTGGCCTAGAGTTTTTAAACAGGAACTAAATGCAGACCCATCCAGATCTCTTTGAGTAGGAATCATCCAGAATGACCCTGAACACATACGGCTGATGGACTTGAAAAATCTATAATTTCAGTTAAAAATCTGCTTGTTTTATGTCATTGTTGGGAGGATTACATTACATTCATGAGTCTGCTTTCCTTCAGGGTACATTCCCACTCACCACTTGTGGCCTAGAAAGCTCTTGAAGTAGGAACCATCTACTTCTCTGTACACCATTGACCACAACAGGTCCCAGCCCTGTATTTAGGTCTTCTGATTAATGCAGTCACAGTTAATAAGGAATCGTGCTCAGATACTATTTTGAAGTAAAGGGTTAAAACTGAATTTGAAAATAAAAGACCGGGGGGGGGGGGTAGAGTAGAATAATCTATATCTTTGTCATTGTAACAGAAAAGTTTTGTTTTCCATTTAAAGTACCAGAGAAATACAATTCAGCCTGTGTCAGTTCTACAGTAAAGCTTTTCTTCCAAGTTTGCTGTGACTATTACAGGAGAGGACTCTGTAGCAAACTATTAAATGCTAGCTATTGTTTCTGGAGATCACTGTGTTCTTGCTTTGGCTTTCACCTTCTTCTCCTTTCCTTGCTTTCTTACGTGTCTCTCTGCTGATCACAGGAGCTGGTGCTGACTTCGTCATGATTGGAGGAATGTTTGCAGGCCATGATCAGTGTGCTGGAGATATTATAGAAAGGAATGGCAAGAAGATGAAACTATTCTATGGAATGAGCTCTGATACAGCCATGAAGAAGCATGCAGGAGGGGTTGCTGAATACAGGTATGAATTCCACACAGGAGCAATTGCAGTGAGCCATCCATCCAGGAACTTTTGGAACAGAATTGTGCTGAAGGAAACAGGCCTATGCTACTACTCCCATTGAAGAAGCTGTTGCCTGCACTTACGACAGCAGATATGAGGGAGGGATGGCATCCAGAGGGAGACAGGGAGAAAGAGCTGGGGTTGGCTAGCTGAGACAGTGATGTTCACTCATTTGCAGCTGGTGTGGTGTGCTGTCACTGCCGCACAAGCTGTGTGGTCTGGGATTGCTCTTTCAGGATGTATATGAACTAAATGCTGGAACATGACATACCAGGCTGCAGTTTCTGTCCCTCTGCTTGTCCACATTGGGTGTAGGGATTCTCAGCTGACCCACATGTTTCCTTATGATTGCAGAAAGTGGGTGCTGGTGAACTGGTGAAGCTCAGCTGGGGTTTCCCCAGTACAGAGATGAGGGCCCAGGACCTCCAAAGCACTCAGTCACCAGCAGCTGCTCTGGGACTCCCTTCTGCATTTGTAGGGCAGTCTTCTTAGGCAGCAGAAGCCTGCTGTACAGTTTTTCCACCCCTCTTCTGGTAACAGAGCACCGGAGTAGCCTCAAATAATGTAGAATGCAGAAGCTTAGTTTTTGAGCTAAATCCTCAGGGGAGGGGAAAGGAAGACAGATTTTGCAAAGGAATCTGTTGTCCATTGCTGAGAATTTTGACTTTTTGAAAAAGCAGATGACATCAGAAAACCTCTATGTCTTTTCTCTTACGAGTGGCAGTCTTAGTCACTACTCTTGGACAACATGGTTCTTACACACTTCATTGAAGAATTACTCTTGTCTTACAGTAAACACTGGTTTATTGAGGGGTCCCTTTTTATTCTTCTCTGCTGGCATAGATTCAGGCTCTGGTCCCATCTGGTAAACTGCTGTTTGCAAGAGTCTCAGACACAGTGACCTGACCTGCAATTCCAGCCAGATACTCAGGATTGATGTGTTTTGTTGGCCTCATCTGCTACAACCACTCCAGCATACAGGTTTTTCCCAACGTGTCCAGCTGCTACCCTGGGTAAGAGTTGCAGCTCTGTAAAGGTGACAGCACAGAATGTAAAGCAGAATGGGATCCACAAAACAAAATGGGATTCATGCTTTGATACAGAGACAAGCTGATAGATAGCAATCCCAGATGTCATGCTAGATAGAAGGATCTTTGATCCCATCTCCTGTTCTCCACCCCAGTGTTGACTTCTCTGGTGGTTTTTGTCTGCACCATAAAATTGTGCACTTGTTCACATGGCACTCAGTGGAGTGCAAAGTGGTAAAACTTAGCCTTCTTCAAAGCATTTACAACCATCTCCTTTGGCCTAAATTGTGGCATTACAGAATCCTTTGGGTTGGAAGGGACCTTTATGGTTTATCTAGTCCAACCTCCCTATAATGAGCAGGGGCATCTTCAACTAGATCAGATTGCTCAGAGCCCTGTCCAGCTTGGCCTTGAGTGTTTCCGGGCATGGGACATCCACCAGCTCTCTGGGCAACCTGTTCAGTGTTTTTGCTTTCAAACACAACTGTTTATTTGCAGAAGAAAGAGCTGCACAAGCTGCCATCTGCATCTGAGATGAGCTGAAATGATGCACTAGAAAGATGTGCTTGCCTATCTCTAAGCTTTGATTCACTTTGGGTTCATATGCCACTTCCCAGAAGCAGAATACAGTTTAGGAGCTCTTTTTTCTTTTTTGTCCTCCGGCAAGTCTGCTCATCATCAAAGCCTCTGAACAAATGGTCTGAGTGGACAGCTCTAGTAAGTGTCTCATAATATAAAAGTGGCCACTGCCAATTACACAGTGGTGCTGGCAACCTTTTACCTGAATGATCATTTCCTGTCCCATGCTTTAGTCAGCTGGAGTGTGGGAAGGGCCTGATGTTGTTCAGGCACGTAGTTAATGGCAGCTCCCTGAGAGATCACAGAGCAGCCCAAGAGTGTTGCATGGATCTCAGTGCAGCACAGTCATTAGGGCCTGGCCTCCACAGAGCTGGTGAAACTTGCAGGAAGAGTTTGAGAAAGTTGGCTGTGCCAGAGGAACAAAGACTAAGGCAGCTCTTAAATTCTTTTGTACTTAGTTAGGTATGTGTGATCTGGCAACAAAATTTATTACAGTAGAACTAATTGACATTGATCCCTCCTAAAAATGAGATAAAGTGCAAGTATACCATCTTTTAGGAGCAAAGGATGTAGAGAAAGAAATACTGAGCTGTATTTAGCTCAGTCTAGACAAACCTTTGAAGTCATTATGGGCGATACTATACAAATTCGGCTTGCTCCATCGCTGTATTTGGATTTGCATCCTCAATTTGAGAATTCCCTGGGGACCAGGTTCTGAAACTTTCTCAGCATCAAGGGAGCAGGAGCACAATCTGAAATTTTTAGTCCCTGTTGAGATACTGCATTTCTGTGCCACTAATAGGTAGCATAGAAGGAGTCTCCCACTCTACTGCTAGATACAACAGCTCCAAACACTAAATCTGTGAGCCTTGTCTCTTAACTAGGAAAGTGCTGATACTCATCTTCACTGTATGGCCATGACACTGAGCTGGTTACCTGTACCAGCCTTGGGCTCGGTCTTCCTTGGCCTGTCCCAGCAGGAGTATCACTGTGGTCTAAAAATAGTAGCTGCTAAATCCAGCATTGTAAATGTGCTGAGCATTACAGGGGGATTTGAAACAGCACAAAGTTTCCATTGAATTGCTCTTATAGTAAAAGTTACTTTTACTATAAGAATAATAATAAACGATAATAAAGTTTAATCATTTCCTAGTTTAGCTGATGGCAAGCTTGAACCAAAAGGGTTTTTAGTCAGCATTTTAAATGCTGGATCCCAAACTTGACCCAAACAGGTCACGTCAGTGGGGCTCTTTTATATGCATTTAAAAAGTACAGCTGTAAGTCTGTATTGGTGACCCAAATAAGCTGTTTTGTCTTTAAAAGAGCCTGAACATTCACAGTGTATTATTCGAGCAGTGGGGAGCTCAGTGTGCTCAGTCTCCTGCAGAACCAGACTGCTTGTCATTTCACTTCATCTTCTCAAAATTACATATGTTGGCTGGAGAACCTGAGCCTGCAACAGTTACATTAAAACTGACAGATAAGGTGAGATGGCTGTAGCAGGGAATAAAGTAATGAGAGTAATTGTTTTTGTAATGAATATGTCAAGCTGATCCCATTTAATCCATGTACTCACTTTCATTAATCTTATGTCATTTATATATTGGCTTATTTTTACATTTTCACCTCCTTCCATGAGGAATGTGGATCAGAGCTGGGGATTTCTGAAAGGCAATTTTTATGTTTCTTTTGTGGGAGAAGAGCAATAAGGCAAGCAGGGATTGAGGCTGCATGCAGTATTGTTCAGTTCGAGCCAATTTGTTTTTGTTAACCCTTTTGAAATTTCACAGGTTTTGTGTGAACGCTGCAGTTCTATTGTGGCCACTCAGCAATTCACAGCTGCTACTAAGCTGGGTTTGGGCACTTTATATTAACTGCAGGGTGAAATTTTGGCCACAGAGACAGAATAGCACCAACTGCTGGCTGCTTCTTACCATCTTGTGTATCCCAAGTGACAGCCTGGAAGACCTGCCCCCAGTTCCTCCATTTCTTAAATGCCCCACTCAAAAGATTGCTTCATGCCAGGGCAGCCTGACCCCTTTATTCTGATCGACATTTTGCTGGGCTGACAGAGCACCATCACACGTGCTTCATCCCTTGCAGCCTGCCAGGATTCCCACTCACCACACACACATACCTCCATGCAGCAGCCTTCAGCTGGCCAGGAGGGGACTGCAGACCGGGCTTTGTGCAAAAAGTCTGAAGCAAATCGTTCTCCCTTTCTATTCAGTGGCTGGCAAGAGCCAGAGTTACTGCTGAGAGCATCTGAGCACACCTTTCCCAGCTGCTGGGAGCCTCAATTGCTCTGTCATCACCTTTCTTTCTGAGAAGGGGTCGCTTTTGGGTCATAACTCCAGGAGAGATGTCAGAGCTGCAAAACCCTCAGCAGTTCCTGCTGACTTGCTTATGCAGCTCTCTGCCAAGTGTGCCAGCTTTTGTGACAGCCCGTGTAATCCATTGTCATGGTTTATCCCGGCAGGCAGCTAAACACCACCCAGGCGCTCGCTCACTCTACCCCCCAGTGGGATGGGAGAGAGAATTGGGAAAAAAACAACAAAATTCATGGGTTGAGATAAAGACAGTTTAGTAGGACAGAAAGGGAAGGGATAATAATAGCAAGAGCAATAATAATATACAAAACAAGTTATACACAGTTTTTCACCACTCGCCAAACAATGCCCAGCCAGTTCCTGAGCAGTGGCCCCAGCCAGCTTTCCCTCCTAGTTTATATACTGAGCATGTTGCCATATGGTATGGCGTGTCCCTTTGGCCAGTTTGGGTCAGCTGTCCTGGCTGTCCCCCATCCCAGCTTCTTGTGCCCCCCAGCCTACTTGCTGGTGTGAGGAAGAGGAGAGTTCTTGACTTGCAGTGAGCACATCTTGGCAATAACTAAAACACTGGTGTATTGTCAACATTGAGGGCTGTCCACAGGACACAGTCCCTTTACAGCTGTCCCTTTTCTGGCATGAGTCACAGGGATTACAGTTCCTCTGGAAGTGCACACCTTTGGCATGGACCACCTCCTTTCGAGAGTGCTTCTAGCTGCACATCTCCTCAGGTGTGTCCAGGTGTGTCCCCTCTCCCAGTGGCCACTGCTGTTTCATAAATACACTTGAGGAAAGGTGTCATGTGCGCCTCTGACTCGCTGAAAATTTGGTGGCTCACACCATGTTTGGAGCCAGGTGGAGCCATCTTTGGCATGATGTAGGTCATGGTCTTCTCCTACACAGGTCACACTGGCCCCCTGTGTCACCTGAACCCTACAATGTTTGCCTAGCACAGCACCTGTGTAGTTGCTGGTGGTAGTTGGCTGGGTGCTTATCACATTGGGCACTGATGAATGTATTAACAGGGTGTTTGGACATAAATAATTTGGGCATGCATGCATGAGCTGATTGGATGCTTATGCAAAAATTACTGGCCATTCATGCATGAATTAATTGGGCACTCATGCATTAAATTATTCAGTGCTCATGCATGAACTAATTTGGCACTCACACAAGAACACAGCAAGCCCAGCAATTTATAGGCTATACATTCACTCCTCGGCAAGGCATGCATTGGGGAACTCTTAGAACATTAATCCAACATGAACTCTTTGGACATCATCACAGTCTTAATGTACTTAAGTTAAAAACTCTCTTTTTCCTCCCTTTGGACCAGCCCCTAGGGATTAACACTGTAGCAGTACACTTACTAAATGTCTCTCCTCCATCCTGAGCACTGTGTGAAAGGGGTTAACGTGGTTATATACACATATGGATACAGATCCCACCCCTGGGCCAGACTACAGCAGTTAATTGTGCACCAGTGTATGCATACACCTAGTAAAATTCCACTCAGGCTTCTCTGGGAACCAGGTGACTCCTCAGCTCAGTCTAAGCAACATGTTATCTCTTAAGAACCCCTTTCCTCTGGGGACAAGACTGTTCGGCTTGATGTTAGCACAGCTTGAGTATATATTCATCAGGAACTTCATCCTCTCATCCCTGTGGACAAGGCTGTGGAGCTAACCTCATGCCTCTCTTCTAGCGTGTTTTCCCCAGTGTGGTATCTACAGGTTACTCCTTGATCAACAGCACATCCCACCAGCTCATCAGCTAGCACTCTGAGGAGCAGTAGCAAGTGTTTAGGTGTCATAGCTTTGGGGCTGTGTCATTAGGCGTTCACCACTTCTGTAGATCCAAAGCCTAAAGTGGCAACCCACAAGCTCCAGCTTCCTAACACCACTGTAGCCACTGCAGGGACATCTCCCAGGGCAGTGGCTGTAACCATCACCCATTTCTGTAATTTCTCACTGAAAAAAGGACCACCAAGTGTTCATGCTCGTAGGAGCAACGCGCAACTTATGACCCACAGGATGGTCAGGCATGAATTAGCAGGGAATTTACTTTGAACTGATGGTGCATTCATGCATCAGGTAATTCACCTCTCATGCATGAACTGCATGAATGGAGTAAACCTTGCACTCCTTGCTCAGAACAGCATGCAGAACTTTTCAGGTGGCAGGATGTGGTAGAATTTTTACTGGTTTCAGCAAATCCCAGACATGCACTGTCTCTCACAATCTCGCAGGAAGTTCCCGGGAGCCTGAGCTCAATCTCACAACTGTGACTGGAAGAGGTAGGCATGGCCAAAAAGCCAGAATAGTGGCATGAGTGTAATTTCGTGGGTCCAGCCTTTTCCTGCTGGCCCTAGAGCTGAAAATAAAAGCCTGGGAAGTCCCAGCAGCACGGCCATACAACAGACTCTTAAGTCCTGGCAGCCTGTGAGATGCCAGTGGCACATCCGTCTTCCATTGGCCACTCACTGCAGAGTCTATTTTAGAGTTTCAAGAAAGAGTCAATTACTCATCAGATGTAAGGAGATTAATCATGGCTCCTTACTCACATGGCATATCAACACGTCGCCTTTATTGTCTCCCTAGGGCTGTGACCTCACATTTAAACTAACAGGATGAAATATAGCCAGGCTCACATTGAAGTATCTCCACATAGCAGCTGTTGCTTTTGTTAATGATTCACAAATGGAGCCTACAAACAGGCATGCCCTTTCTTGTACTATCACCTGGAAACTTTTTTTAAGGAAGAAGCAAATAAAACCACATTTAGAACAATGACATACTGCTGCCGTGATTTCTGCCTCCATTTTATAGGGCAGAAGGAAAGCGCCTCCTCTTCCCTCCACATTTGTCTTAGACCCTCCCTTCCCAAGGCTTGCCTTTCCAGATGAGCCAGTGTGCCAGGCAGAATGAGCTATCTCCAAAGTGTAGTGAGATCAGCTGCTGATTAAGGGTCTCTGCTACAGGAGGGATTGCTGAACATGGGGCTGGAGAAAGCTGGAGGAGGAGTGCAAGTTATTTGCCTGGATTCTTCCATCGTGCAACTCTTCAGATGTGCTTTTTGGGAACAGTGCAGTCTGTGCTGGCATGCACCAGCACTTGACAGTATTCACAGCACTGCTATTTCTCTGGCCTTTTTGCCTGGCACTGAATTGTGCTAGATCACCTTTCAGCTTCAAGGGACAGCTGTGCAGAAGGTTTCTGTAACAGGTTTCCCACACTCTCTGTGAGTTCTGGAGAATCACACTGGTAGGAGACAGCCAGAGCAATCCCATCTGTGTCTGATCAGTGACGCGGGACAGAGCCCAGGGGCTGTGAAACCTCTGCAGAGCTGTGCTGGGTGGTGCCTGCAGAGAACCAGCTCCAACATTTCTCTGTTTGAGCCTGGCTGTTCCTTACATTTTAAAGCTTGCAGCTCTCACAGTCAAATTTACCTTTCAATAAAGCTGGAAGTTCCACTAGGCAGATGGTAGAGGGGAGGAAGGGGCAGATCTGTAAATAAACTCATGGGATATTGGAGCATCTACAAGATCTGTCTGCTTCTACTTCTCAGTGTTGGTGGTGAGTGGAGCTGAGGCATTTCAGTGCTTGAGAGCACCAAGCAGCAAGCAGTAAAGCTGGGGGCACGTTTGTAAACTGCAGCCTGCAGAGTTAAGCTCCACATTGCTCCATTAAACACACTCGTGTTTTGCATCCAGACATGAATGCAGTGACTGATCTCTTCTCCAGGGCTTCGGAGGGCAAGACTGTGGAGGTACCATACAAAGGGGATGTGGAACACACCATCCTGGACATCCTCGGGGGGCTGCGCTCCACCTGCACCTACGTGGGAGCTGCCAAACTCAAGGAACTGAGCAAGAGAACGACATTTATCCGGGTCACCCAGCAGCACAACGAGGTCTTCTCCTAGCCTAGGTCTGGGGGGCTGGAGAGAGGGGTGGGGGAGAAGAGCAGAAAGGGCTGCTCTTTTCCTTTGCTTTCTCCTCCATGTTGTGTTAGTGGCAAACTTCCCTCTCAGAACAGCAGCGTTATAGCCATTGGCTATGGCTGGGATTTGGAAGGGGAAGGTCATGCTATTAACACAGTGCCATTGATTCAAAATGCAATAGCCTCATCTTTTATTGTTGTGCCTATTTTATTTTTTAATCAACATTTCTTCACCTGTTTTTCCCCCTCTGATAAATGGCTGCTGAAACCCCAGTTAACAAGGAATTGGCTTGTACAGACATGGCTCTTAATGCCTGCACACATTCACACATTCCCTTTTTTAAGACTGACCTGTCAGCTACCACCACTTTCTGGCAGTGCACCTTTCAGAAATTGCAGGCTAGGAGAGAAAATGATACAAGGAATTGCATGGAGAAATAAAAAATCAAATTCTCTTAGTCTTTTTTTCTGGCTAAAGAAGAGATGTTAGGGCACAACTGCCAGCCTGCAAAATGTCAGAGGTGGATGGTAGATGAGGCCTGGCTGTTGGTGACATGTGATGGTAAAAATGCCAGCTCTCTCTCACTTTCAGTTCACAGGGCTGATGTTGCTGTTCTTACTTAAACCTCCCTATTCAGTGGACTTGCCCCTTCAGAGAAGCTGGCACTGAATGTAACAAAACTGTGCTGGCCCCCCTGCCCCCATCTGAGGAGATCATTCAGAAGCTTTTCAGAGCTTGCCTGCTTTATCATGAGTGCAGTTATTGAATTACCTGGGTTCCTGTTTTACCTGCTCTCTGGAAACAGGTTTTTAAGACATTGAAACTCAGCAGCTGTAACCCTGACAAGAGGGAATGGTTCTTGCAGTCCGCCGTGTTCCCTTGCCTGCTCACATCCATTTAGCAAAAATGTAAAAATGCTGTGCAGTGCATTGTCTGTGGCCAGGTGGAGGAGACCAGAGGGATCAAATTGCCTTCTGGTTATGTGGTACCACTGCTTTGCAGTCCTTGACATCATGTAAAGCAAGATAGAGCTTTTGGCAGAACAGCCTGGTTGATTGCAAGACACAGTCAGGCTGAGTTGGAGTTAAAGCATTTGCTCTAGAGGCAGTAATGAAGGTTTGAGACTCTGCATAACACTTCAGTAAAGTGTAATGGTCTGATAATTAATTGATAAATCACAATGAAAGTTTCTTTGGAAATACACGTTGCATCCACGACTACCACAGTAGCTCGATATGATAAATGATGTAAAAGTGAGCACTAATGAATTAATAATGCTTGGCCACTTACTTTGAACTGCTACTGAGATCATAATGCAGCTGATATTACTTCAGTACTTCAGAATCTTACTTTCCCCTCCTGTAGACATCTGTGGAAAGAGGCAGGCTTCCTTTGAAAAGCAAAAAAGTGATCTGTAGGAAAAGGAATAGCAAAGAGAAACTCTAGACTGGACTGCTGGACTGCTCAAAAAGTCAATCACAAGGACTGGTACAACTGACCTTGCTGAGAAACAAATCTGGGCCACAAGCTGATGCCTGGTGATTTTTAAGTGTGTTGTGCACATTAGAAAAAGCACAGGATATCTTCTAAATTGCCTGGTATTTTAAATGTCTTCCATTTAATATGCAGGACGTACTTCTTACTTCACTTCTGTGAATCCAGGCCCAGGGAATCCAGGCCCAGATCTCTGTTCCTTCCAGCCTGGAAGCATCATGTTAAGAGAATGCCAGGCTTCTTCACCATAGAAAGGCACCTGGGCCACCTACTGCTCTCAGCTGCACTAGCCCAGAGCAGAGGCAGTGTGACCTCTCTGCATCAGTACAGCTGTGGGACAGCACTGGTCCTCTATTGATGTGATGTGAGGGGGAAGCAAATGGACACTTCTGTCAGGAATGGGGTTAGACCACCAGAGCCCAGGCCTGACCACAGGAGTGTCTCCACACCTGTGCCTTCACACGTGGGAAGTGCAGCGCTCTGCTGGTCTCATGCCCACTCTCACTAGCGCTTTTCTACTTTTTTTAGCTACATTTCTAAGTGGAATTTAAGAAATACATATGCATATAAAATATATATATATATTTGTAAGCATTTTTTTAAAAGATCATGCACACACCAAACCGAGCAGCTTCATGATGGCCTCAGAACAGTTTCTTTTCCAAAGGGCAGGTGCTGGGGGCAAGGGGAGGCTGCCTCTCCACAAGTGTGGCAAATGGGGTTATTCTTACACCTGCTTTCCTTCCCCTCCTGCACATCCCTCTGATCAGTGACTAATAGGAGAGGGACAGGTTATTCTTAAGCTGTCCCCCAAATTCTTCAGGCTGTGAATGACATTGATGTAATGGATGGTGACTGATAATGTTTTGATGTTAGGTATTTGGTTTTCTAAATAGCAGTTCTTACCATTGTTTTGATAAACAACAGCATGTTTTCTTTCATTTTCTCCTCTCCAGAAGGGAGCAGGAGAGAGAAATGAGATGCAGAAAGGCTGAACTGGTGGCATGTCTGCATCTCGCCCAGTTATATGTGAATTTTGTTCAGGAATAACCCTCAGCTATGTCAGTGCTCACCACTGACTCTGTACGTGGGCTGCTCTGAGACAGGCTGGAAAATACAAAAAATAAAAAAAGGCACTTGAGTCCCCCTTTAACACCTATTCCTGTACTGCAGTCGTTTCCCTGATCTTTCCTTAGCTCCAGCTCCTGTACCCTGCTCAAACCTCTTGCCACTCCCACAAGGAACTGAGGCAGAAGGAGCCAGGAACACACCTTGTCTGGCAGGATGTTCCAAGTCAAGACCACAACCACTGACAAATGCCATATGCCATTTGTAGATCTACCTCACCTGCACATCTAACTGGGCTCTTTGTTATTTGGTGTCCTTTTGTGGGAAATGGAATTTGTAAGTGCTTAATAATGCTTAATGTTGAGTGATTCTGCGTAACCAGGTCTCCTCTAACCCTACGCCCCAACCCCATCCTGTCCAGAGGAATGCTGTGAGTGTGACAGCCTGTACTGTAGGCCAGGGCCATGCCTGCTTCCCCCAGCCAGGCAAGTGTTGAGCTCCCAAGAGCAGTGTTGAGGTTCCCACTGGCTCCACAGGGGTGCAGTTTAACATACCAAAGATCTACAAGTGGGGATGCTGAAAAGGGCAACATTACATCATTAAGCAGTCCCTGGTGAGCATGTCTGCCTGTGGCTTCTTGAAACATAAGGACACCTCTAACACCCCTGGAGCTCCCAGTCCTGCCGTGGGGTTGCCTTACTGCAGCACAGTTTGCATAGTGGGCTCCTGCCCACAGAGTCTGTCTACCAGAACTCTCCTTGGAAGGGAAGGGCTCAGCACAGGAGTGGCCTTGCTCACTCCCCAGTGACTGTGTGGTGGCTTCAAGGAGTGCACTGTGCTCGTGGACACCTCCTTGTTGTAGGTGTAAGCAGTTGTTAAAGGGGTGGGCCTTGAGCCAGCATCCTGACAGATGCAAAACAAGCCACACACAAAACACATTCCCATCTGCTCATTGGAACAGCCAGTCCCCCATTGGCCATGGGACAGAGGTTTCAGCTGTGCTGTGGTGCAGCTTTCTTCTCGTTTAGGGCATGGTGGGGTTGAATGTACGATGGGGATACCCTGTAAATACGGAGAGTTGTAAGCAAGATCAGAAGAAGCCTCTGTTTGGGGGAGCTTTCCTATATAAAATGTGCCTGTCTCTTCTTTCAGCTAGTCAATAGCAGGGGTAGAAAGGATGATGAGGAAGAAATGTGGCAGCTGTTGCCCAAGCCCCACTGTGTTGGGACCGGTGCTTTCAGTCAAGGACATGGGGAGAGTTTGAAGCTCTTTTGAACCAAGCACTCCTTACTTTATACCTGTTGAACTCCACTCTCGTGACAGACTTGTTGCTGCAGCTTTCTGACACTGTATGTCCAGTGTCTATTCATCACCATCTCACATCCCCCACCAGGGGATGGTGCTGTTTAGCTGCTAATAACAGTTTTACACCAAAAATTCTTCTTTGGAGCCAGGAGGGTTTTTGCAACCAGCGCCAGGTTTGGCCTTGTGTAGAAGAGAGGGGGGAGAAAAAAAAAGCCAAGGCCCAAGAACAGCAGTTTGCCCTCTGCAGCAGCCAGGGCCAGGCGGTGGGAGAGGACCAGCCCTTCCCTGTGGGCTGGGAACTGCAGAGGTGGCCTGTTGAATCATGTCTCGAGTAGATGCTGGCACAGCTCTGCACTCAGGACAGACCACCCCCTGCAGCCTTAGCTTCATTTGTGGTCACCCAGATGCTTCAGCGAGCCCTCCCCAACATTAATTTGACTCAGTGTTTGCTGGCTAAAGTTTCGATACATAAATCAGCAGTCTGGAGTCCAGAACTCCCTGCTGTTGCCTGTGATAACTGTGAACTGCTTCTGTGTCATTGGCCAAACAGCTGATGGGCTTTCAGTGTTTTGCTGCTCTGCTCGGCCCTGCTGAGATGGTGATGAGAGCACTGCCCTCCTTCCCTCTGCTGTGGTATCCCTGTGTGCGTGGCCCAATCATCCCAACTGCTCCCAAGTTTTTGTTTTTGTTGTGCAATAAAGAGCTTCATCCTGACAGGCTGCAGAGCGTTTTATGGCCATGGGTGGGAGGGTGCAGGCGCCCTTTGGCATCATCACAAATAAAAGCCAATGCTCTCAAATGCATTGCCAGGGTGGGGCTGAGGGAGGACGGGGCAGGGAATTAAATTGGAAAAATTATGTCCCTAGGAAAGCTCTCTCCCCTTCAGTCATAAAAGACAAAACACACATTTGCAATTGGCACTGTTATTTTATTAGTACGAGTATACTGAAACAATAAACTTGTACTGGTATACAGACAATTTCTTTAAAACAATTTTGTTCAAATTTTGAATCAAACATTGTTTTATTATAATAATGAAATAATTTCTACCTAGAAAACCTGCAAGCACCATCAAAGAAAGGGACCATAAAATTCAATAAACAGACGCGAGTGTATCCTACAAATAGACACACCACCATTAGAAAATAGAATATGAATTCTTCCATTTTTTTTAATATTTGTTTTAAAAAAGCTAGTGCAAGTACAATATTTTACACTGGAATTACAGAGAGTATGCACGCATATGGAAAAAAGTTCTCCTGTCACAATAAAAGCTCTTAACTATGTCTGTATGCACTTAAAATCTTCTCCTCTTTTCAATAAGGTGCAAAACGTTATTCCCTCCCTATTTTCTCCTTTGTACTGGCCATGTCAGCTCAATTTCTCCCCAACACAAAGCTGTGATATCCCTTTTACTGGGCCTACACTAGGAACGACACTGGAAGTGTGATTTGCAACAACCCTCATTAGTAATACCAGACAATTAAAAAAAAAAATTACTTTAAAAACTACTGATGTCGAATGGCTGGACCTGACCCCGGCTCGGCCAAGCGCCGCTGCCAGCTGCTGCCGGGAGCGGTGACATAGCTAGTACAAAATGGATTTCAGTAGCTCACCCAAACTGAAAAAGGTTGGGAAATTCCCCCGCCCCCCCTTTTTTGTAACACTGCGAAAAGAACAGTGTTCAACAAGTTAATATATTATTTAAAAAAAAAAAAAAAAAAAAGGAGCAAATACATACATTAGTGAGTTTCAACATTAGCTGTTGTGAAGAGTTGCATCTATGCCTTACCAGATTAGTAACTTTGCGAAGCGTCCAGCCTGACGGTCAGGCTGCAGACACAGACCAAGCCACCTGCAGCCACCCCCGGCCCATTTTTGCCCTCAGCTGCCCAGATCCAAACCCGATGGACTGGAACAAGAATTATGCAGAACTTGTTCAACGGGAGAGTACCTGGGTCCTGGACTTTTAAAGCAAATGCCAGGGTGGAATCCCCTCGCCAGTGGGTGTGAAGGGGCAGACCTGCACTGCCCGCGGAGCCAGTGGCCCCACCCTGGCTCCACCCTGGCTGAGGATCTGGGCCCTGAAGTTTCTGCCCATCACCAATCCCGTAGTACAGCAAGGACAGCTTCAACTAGTGACTCCGCTCGCTGCAAACAACACTTCCAATGCACACCTACTGCGTGGTCGAGGGAAAGGGCACAGGAGCTTTAACTGCTCAAAATAGAAACTAACAAAATAGCAACAACCTTGGATGAAGCCTCCATAAAATCCTCAGTGGAAGACTTGCGTCCTTTCAGCTAACAAGAACAAAAGCTACGGAAACCTTAGAGACTGTTATTGTATAAATACTACCTGTTGGCTGAATGCACTTCACCGTAACACAAGTGGGGCTGGTTTCCGAGCGCCCGGAGGTCATTTGCACAGGGTGAGCATTCCCACCCTGTGTGCCTGCGGGAGCCGAAGCTTGGGTCACCTCCGAGGAAGGGGATGGGAGCAGCCTGAAACTTTGCCCTCTCCACCCTGCCACCGGCTCCCAGCTGCCCAGCTCAATCTTTGGACAGGAAAAGGATCCTATCTTCAGAAACT